GCCGGAAAAGATGACAGGAAGCTAGAGCGGAGTGCATTTTGAACGATTAAATATATTTTAAGGGTGTAAAGTGCCATAAAAAAAAATTCGGGGGTACAAAGTGTCAAAATGGTGCATTTCTATGATGCAAAGTAGAATTAAGCCTTGATGAGTGTGTTAATTTTACTTACCTCACATCTACTAATGCCCAACCTTCGCGTACTTCTTTTGTACCATAATTAACAATAAGTAACAAATAAAGTTATTCCATATTTAATTCGATCCTAACCGACAACTTTGTAATAATGAACAACTTGAATGCATGTAATATAGATTCGGTTATTTCTATGACACACTCGGTGAAATTTATATTGGGTAATTTTTTACTGTTGATCCGCACACACCAATTTATGTGTGTGTGTTGTATTTATATGAATGGGAAAATCTATCCGATGTATTTCACCCACTATAGCATAGAATAGAACTACAGTTTCAATATGTTTCATATTTCCTGATTTCCATATAAAAAAAAGGGTAAATTACAAATACCCCCTGAGGTATGGTCAAATTACAAAAACCCCCCTCTTGTTTGGATAATTACATCTACCCCCCTCAACTATGATTTTTTCTTACACCTCCACCCTTATGGTGCCAAATTCAACATAATCATCTAGATTCCGTGGAATGTGCTCTAGTTTGTACTCGTTTTGTGTAAAAATACAGTTTCCGATGCACCGCAAACTGATATATACAAGCTAAAAAACACATATTATGATCATCTTGTTTCATAATGTAGGGTTCGAATGAGATAAAACGGGTACAAAAGTGATAATATTCCATATAATCTCGAAGATTCGACTAAATTTGAGGAGTTGAGGGGGTCGTTGTAATTATCCAAACAAGAGGGGTATTTTTGTAATTTAACCATACCTCAAGGGGGTATTTGTAATTTACCCTAAAAAAATTATTAATGACCGTATAAATAACTTACAATCGAACTCAAAGGGAAGTATTAACCTAATTACGTTTTTTATACGACAAAGTCGGTAGACAACCATTTTCCGCCTCATAATGGTCGGACTCGTAATGATTTTCAATATTCTGTACAATCGGCTGGTTGGGACGGGTAAGTAATTGACCGATAATTACCCGATCCGACCCATGCCTAGCTGTAACTGAAACCGATAATATGAGTTGTAGTGGACCTGAAAATTGATTGTCTAATAGGTGTAGAACCTCAGGTGCTACCAGTTGTCCTAAAATTAATTGGTGTCAGGAAAAGCGCAAAACCTAGTCTTATAGTGTGTTCAACGCACACAAGCGCCCACGACATTCGATTGTGGGTCGTCCATACCCGAACCTCCATCACGTGGACAATTGCTGTCAAACCCATGCTAGCAATCGGTTCATGAACCACTATTCTCACAATTGGCGTTATTTTATTTATTTTCTTTTTAATAAATGAAATAGAAAAAAAAAATTATTTTCAAAATTAACAGTTTGAATTACCGGTTTAGTATTTTAAAAAAATATTGCAATTTAACCGCTCAAATTATTGGTTCGACCTACATTTTAAACCTGTTGTTTATTCTATGATTTGAGTTTCATTTTCGAAGAATCACACATATCGATTCACGGTTCGTGTTCATAGTCGAGTAGCGATTATATATGGGCCGATTCATTAGTCAAACCGGGTCATGATCATATCAGACCCATTGCCACTCAACACAAAATAAAATAAAATAAAATAAAAAAATAAATCAATATACGCATAATTAAAAAATAAACCTCGAAAATTCTTTTATTTGGTTTGTGGTCCTTTTTGATTAATATATAAGAAGAAAAAAAATCCCACTTGAAATTAAATCAGCCTAGAAAGTAGAGCAATTAGCTTAACCAAACCTAGGATTGATGGGACCCACCATCAGTAATTGTCGCGTACAACTACTCCACAGGGACTTAATTGTGATTATCAAGTAATTAATGTGCTTAATCCTTTTTTTGTAGCCTACTAACCACATTTTAATTGCGCTGAACAAGAAACTCAATGCAGGTCGAGCTTTTCAAAGTCTAACAGTTTAGGCACGTGATATAAATACAAATTAAAAAAACTAATCGAATTAAATAGATAAGTAGTTAGCAGCTACAATATTTGAAATTAAAAATTCAATTTAAAATATTCTACAAAGGCATCTTTTATGCGATTTACGAGCTAGTACAAAAAAACGATATTTACGCAGTGCAATTGGAGTGGCTGCAGATAATCTTGTTAAAAAAAGCATTATATAGTTCAACTTTCAGGATATACTATATAAAATTTATATTCTTAAATATTATCTTAGTATCGTATTAAGTTGTGTAACTAGTTCATGTTTAAAATAATATTTATTTTCTAAGAAATTTGATAAATGTCCCTCTTTAATAAAATTATACGGACAAAATTATATAGTGATTAGACCGTAGTTTTTTTGAAAGTCCGTAAAGTTAAAAGTAAAGTCACCGATTTTGGTTGCACAATTTGGATTTCACACGTTCTAATTAAATTCTTGTTCGAGAGCTAATTGAAGAGCATAAAATATCATTTGCGATCTAGTGATAGTTTCGTTAGTGGATCACAATCCACAAAATTTGCAGACGCCCACTCGTTTTTTGGTTGAGATCTTTATAAATATTCCCTCCGTGGCGAAATTTTTTCACTTTGTTAATGTACGTGTATAAAGAAAATTAATGAATATGCATAAATTTTAAGAAAAAAATCACATAAAGTAGGTAAAGTTCTTTGTATAATTAATTATCACACCGTTAATCGTCCTTGATCTAATTAAGAATAAGGACATGAGCTCGAATCCGATTATCAATGTTTTTTAGGCCAAACTTGCATACTAATATACTATGACTATTATGGGTTACATTTATAGTTTGATTTACGAGTTATTGTACAAGAATAGATATTTATCCAGTACACTTATATAATTTGTTGCGTGTTCATAAATAAAGAGTTATACAAACTAAATTGAGAGAAAAAATGCAACTCGCAGATTATGAAAAATCTAAAGTGTTAAATAATTTGTTGCGGAAAAGTAATTAAGTTCACAGTTCTCAAAATTCGAAGTTTGCGAATCGTGCTTTTGGATGATATATTTAAAAAAAAAAAAAAACAATTGTACGGAACAATTTTATTAGTGAGAAATATTTGGAAAAATTACTCACCCTTTATACTTAATTCACAATTTAATTCTTAATAAAACATAAAATATAAATAAATAGAGGAAATGTTATAAGTAACCATGGTTAGAGGTAGCGCCTACTTTGGTTAGCAACTACACCCATCCTACTATGCCCGTATATAGCACGACAAGCCCACTTCCCCATAAAAACCGAACAACTTTCCACTTAACGCCGTCAACTTGCCAAGCCAATCGAATCTTGACACACCCTAACAGTTTTGGCTAACGCCGTTAAGACGTCGTCATTGATATTGTCCCCCCGGACACAATCTCATCCACCAGGTATTCCCGGTCAACTGAACAAGGCATTGTTTGGCTTTCACTTTTCTCTTATGTGTCATAATTATTGTGCTACTCATAACAAATTTTAGTTTTTTATTTTTATTTTATTTATTAATTAATTAATTTATTTATTTCTCTTTCCAAATGCAAAGTACAATAGAAATACATGATGCCTTTTGAAATATCTTCCTCTATTTCAGCTAATTGTCGTTGTCACCCAAATATCTCTCTCTCTCTCTCTCTCTAAATATATATAAAATTATAGTGAGAGAAACTAGTTTTTATTTTAGTTAGAGATTGTTTGGTTAAATTTGAGTTCTATTTTAATAGTTTTTTTTTGTATTATTGAAAATTGTTTATATTACTTCTTCTTTAATAAAAATCTAAAAGTTTATTTTGATCATTTGTGTGTTCACTACTAATTCTATATGTTGCAAATGAAACTACAATTTATGTAAATGAAAAATAATATACCTAAAAGGGATTTGAGTAATTATTGGTAGATTTATAGATGGAATTTGATAAATAATAAATTTGTATTAATGATATGAAATAAAATAAATATGTTTTTAAAGTTTCAAAATATAAAAAAAAAACTAAATGACAAGTATAATCTATAGTTTATGTGAGATAAAAGTGACAGAGTCGACACTGATGATACGTAGTGCCAGAATTGGTCTAACTTTACGCTACGCTACGGTTTTGAAATCAAACATCACAAGTTTATAGAAAATTCAATGGCAATATGCATGGGCTGCCCCAATTGAGGGCTTGGAGGGCCGTCACAACTGTTTTTGCCCATTTCAAAGTAAAAATTCACGCACTCTCCTCGGCCCATAAAAACCCCAGTTCATTGTTTTTGTGTTCAATAGATCCTATCTGGTAATGTACACACATTGCAAATCGGCATGTGGTAGGGAGTTAGTAATCAATGTGTATGGTGAAATTCGCCAGATATAGATTCGAATAAATCTTATTCTCGAGTTTGCAGCCCTCAATAAAAAAAATTATGAATTCGTAAATGTCATTAGACAATTCAGGCCGCCTCATTTAAACACTTCAAATTTCATTAAATTAGTAACACCCAACCACCGCTATTTATTTGCAGTATATAACTGAAAAGAAAAATTACAAATTTCTCCTTTGTACAATAACTTAATTTTATTAAATAAGATACTTCGTGGACATATCACACATAATACCATAATCCAACAAATTTAAATAATTAATCAGTAAGCAAACGAGGCCTAAGATGAAAGAAAAATATGAAGAAAAAAAAGAAAAAAATATATATATATATAGTAATAATTATTGTTCCTACTAGTTATTAAGACAAGAAAATGAAAAAAATTCAATAAATATGAAAAAAAGGAAAAAGGAAATAAGATTCCCAAACTCGGCCTAGACAATTTACCGGGTGTAACCAGTTTCTCCGCGGTCGAGTTATCATTACCAACTCACCCCCCGTTATCAACTCATCTCTCTACTTTCTCTCTCATCACTTCACCCTATTACCTCTACCAAATTCTCTCTCTTCCATACCATTTTAGCTTCAAGATATATACTTACTATATACTTGCGGACACACGATAAATTCGTCGGAAAAGAAAAAAATCTCGCAGGATTTTCTGCCTGTTACCCATCCAAAATTCCTCCTCCGAATTTATGAGCCACGCGCCCACTCGCCTCTAATCCTTGCTTTTTTCCGCTTGTTTTTCGGTCCGGCTGTCCGGATTTTTGTCTGGGGTTTTTGGTTTGTTTTTACTCTTTTCGGCTTTTGTTAAATTCCATTTTAGGGCTGGGAAATGAGAGATCTGTGCTTGAATTAGTGTGTGTGTGGAGAAAATGGCTGCTTCCGAGGTTTCGATCAAGGGTTACAGTGACGCAAACGATTGTAATTCCGGTACGGATAAAGCGAACTCCGGCGCCGGGAAAGGTGAATTCGACCGGAATTTTTTAGTTCCCTAAAATAATTGTTTTATAATTAATTATTTGTTTATTTAATTTATATATCTCTTTTGTTGCTTAGTGGATACTGAGACGGCGTTGTACACGGAGCTATGGCGGGCTTGCGCCGGCCCGTTGGTGACTGTGCCTCGTGAAAACGAGCTTGTTTTCTATTTTCCTCAGGGTCACATGGAACAGGTTACGTTTTTATTTATTTATTTATTTGAAAAAAAAATATTTGGTAATTTTTTAAATTGAAAAAGGGGGATTTTCAAAGCTCTCTGTCTGATCTAAGTTATTACCAGTTTTCTTGATTTTATTTCCATTTTGTTCTTGGTGACATCAATTAAGTGCAATTTAATGTTTTGCCAAGTGGCCCATAAAATTGAAATTTAATTCTTGCAAACAATTCTTTGGACACCATTAAAGACAACTTTGTTTCACAGTTTTTTTTTTTTTTTTTTTTTTGTGGGGATTTTTCTGTTGCTTGATTATGGGTTTTGTAATTTATCTTGTGCTCATAGTTTGTGGGTGTTTTGTTTTTGTTGTATAGGTGGAGGCATCTACTAATCAGAGTGCAGACCAGCAGATGCCCGTGTATAATCTTCCTCCCAAGATTCTTTGCCGAGTGGTTAATGTCAATTTGAAGGTAGTTATGAATTTTGATTTGTAAATTGTAATTTCATTTTTTTCTGAGATTTTTTGCAGGAGTTGTTATTTATTCTAAGAGGGTTTCATGTTCTTTGTTTTCATTGTTATTTTCTGCGCGATAGGCTGAACCCGATACCGATGAGGTCTTTGCGCAAGTTACTTTGATGCCCGAACCAAATGTAAGTCAAACCCTCGGAGTGCTTTGGCAAATATATATTTTGGTTCGAGATTTCTTGTACTAAATTTCTAATGAGGGGTTTTGCTTTGCCAGCAAGACGAGAATGCAGCAAAAAAGGAACCTCTTCCTTCACCGCCACCTTGTTTTCATGTCCATTCCTTTTGCAAGACTCTAACTGCTTCCGATACAAGCACTCATGGCGGGTTTTCGGTGTTGCGGCGGCATGCTGATGAGTGTCTTCCCCCACTGGTTAGGATTAATCTAGTTGAAATTCATTGAGTTCTTTGGTGTTTATTTATTACATGGTGATAGTAAGTGTGTAAAAAAAATTGTATTTTATGACAGGATATGTCGAGGCAACCTCCCACGCAGGAATTAGTGGCTAAAGATTTGCATGGAAATGAGTGGCGTTTCAGGCATATTTTTCGTGGTAAATTTCTGATAGATCTTTATTCAAGATTTGGCCGCAAGTTGCCTCTGTTTTCCGAACAGAACGTATGCTGTTTTGATTTGATCAGTTTGATTGAATCAAAATGAAAAGGACATGTTATGAAGATTTACAAACTCATTAGGCGAATGTGATGTGCTTATCAAGGTTGAATTATGGCGACTTAAAGAACGAGATATTTTTATAGGAAAAAACAAGTTTCTGAGCTTTGCAGATGGTTTCTATATGCATTCAAAACAGAAAAATAAAAATAAAAAAAGAAATGGCTGCTAATATTGGTTGACTATTGAATTTCAGGTCAACCAAGGCGGCACCTCCTCCAGAGTGGTTGGAGTGTCTTTGTTAGTTCAAAGAGACTTGTTGCTGGCGATGCCTTTATATTTTTGAGGTTTAATACGAAACCTTAAACGCCTTCAGCTATCTATGCAATAATAATAATATTCAATTATGTCTTAATGAATTTTACCTTACTTTCAGGGGGGAGAATGGGGAGCTGCGAGTTGGGGTTAGGCGTGCCATGAGACAACAGGGCAATGCTCCGTCATCAGTTATATCGAGCCACAGCATGCATCTTGGTGTTCTTGCCACAGCTTGGCATGCCATTCAGACCAAGACCATGTTCACTGTTTATTACAAACCTAGGTATGTGACTCATTAAACTTCCATAACTACAATTTATGCAGTACCGATAAATGAAGTGGTTGCACCTAATACATGGATGACCTAGTGATCTAATAATTCTATATTTTATCTTCTTGTCTGTAAATCTGTTGCAGGACCAGCCCAGCAGAGTTTATTGTCTCGTATGATCAGTACATGGAGTCGGTTAAAAACAATTATTCGATAGGCATGAGATTCAAAATGAGGTTTGAAGGTGAAGAAGCTCCAGAACAGAGGTGCGGATTATCCTAGCTACCATTCTAAAGAATGATCTGTAATTTTTATTACGATTTCAGTTACAGTTATTTATGTATTATTTTCTGCAGGTTTACTGGAACTATTGTTGGTACCGAAGATGCGGATTCGAAAAGGTGGCCAGAGTCGAAATGGAGATGCTTAAAGGTAACCATCATCTGCACCTGCCCTTTTCTTTTCTTAAATAATTTCAACGTCTCATTTTCAAAATTCGCCTCCTCATTTTTCGTTCAAAGGTACGCTGGGACGAGACTTCAACAATTCCTCGTCCCGAGAGAGTTTCGCCATGGAAAATCGAACCTGCCCTTTCCCCTCCTGCCCTGAATCCACTTCCAGTGCCCAGACCAAAAAGGCCTCGTTCAAGTGTATTGCCCTCGTCGCCCGACTCTTCTGTTCTTACTAGAGAAGGTTGATCCTAATTCCAATTTGTTTTGAGTTTCCTCTGCTTTTATGTGTTGTTATTGTCTTATGGAAAACTGTTGCTCGAATTTCTATCTGATAAATAATAATTTACTATGTAATGTAGGTCCATCTAAGATGACAGTTGACCCTTCACCTGCCAATGGGTTTCAAAGGGTCTTGCAAGGTCAAGAATTATCGACCTTGAGAGGCACTTTTGCAGAGAGCAACGAGTCAGAAGCCTCTGAAAAGCCATTACTGTGGAACCCTTCACTGGACGAAGACAAGATTGATGCCCTTTCCGCTTCAAAGAGATACATGCCCGATAAGTGGTTGCCTATTGGAAGACCCGAATCTTCGTTCACGGATCTTTTATCGGGTTTCGGGTCACAAATCAGTGGATCCCGTGATTTCTGTATGCCACCTGGAGATGAAGCAGTTTCAAAGAGACAGAGACAAGATCAGCAGCACGAGGCGAAGTTTAGCTTCATTGGAAATAATAACAACTGGTCGATAATGCCCTCCGGTCTATCTCTTAATCTGATGGATTCTTCTCAAGGGCAAGGTACCACCGATGTTAGGTATGGTGGTGGTTTCAGAGAATATTCCTTGATGCCAGATTCTAGAGGAGGAGACAATCAGCAAAGGAATTGGTTAATGCCTCCGCCTATTTCACCATACCTTCAAATGGGACCCGCTCAGCCGAGAGAGCTGATGCCGAAGTCTGCGTTTATGCAACAACAACCGTCACATGATAGTATGAAGCCAAAGGAAGGGAACTGCAAGCTCTTTGGTATTCCCCTCAGGAGTAGTAGTAACTCTGCATCGTTGGATCAAACGCTGTCGCAACGAACGGCTATGATTGAGCGAGCCAGTCATATGCAGCTTGGGCTACATTCTCACCAATCCCCTGCTATCGAGTCGGACCAATCAAAGGGCTCGAAAATGGTGGACAGTCCAGTTGCCACAAGTGAACAGGACAAGCCTGTAACGAAGGTTCATTCTGGTTCAACAAGGAGTTGCACTAAGGTTCTCGTCTTTAGGATATATCGTCTTATTTTTCTCCGATAAATAATTATTTTTTTTAATTAAAAAAAAATTATCGATTGCAGGTTCATAAGCAGGGAACTGCACTCGGTAGGTCTGTGGATCTTGCAAAGTTCGACAACTACGATGAACTGATAGCCGAACTGGATAATCTCTTTGAATTTAACGGTGAATTGAAGGCAAAAACCAAGAATTGGCTCGTCGTGTATACTGATGACGAGGATGATATGATGCTCGTTGGAGATGACCCTTGGGAGTAAGATATTCTTATACGTTTCAAATACGGATGCACTGGCTCTGTTAATTTATATGTTGATTTAATTTTTTTTTGAGCAGCGAATTTTGTGGCATGGTTCGTAAGATCTTAATACTTACGAAAGAGGAGGTTCAGCGTATGAGCCCGGGTACCTTCAATTCGAAAGGTGAAGAAATGTCGTCAGTTGCAGAAGGATTGGATGCTAAGGAAGTGAAGAATTTGCCGGCGACTACTTCCTCGTCTAGCCCAGATAATTGCTAATTTTCCCGCCTCAAATCCCGGTAAATTACTGTCCGTTACCAAACATCTTCTATGCCTTAGTTTGTATTTTATGGTTCTAAAGATGATATATATAAATATATATAATAATAATAATGCAGGCAAAGGAGGAATCTTTGGAAAGATCGAACGGGTGGAATCTTGCAAAGTCCCTTCCGCTTCGGGATCGTGGGACTCTCTTATATATATATATATAGACGCAGTTTAGTATTGTTCGCAATTTTGAACCCCTTTTTTTTTTTGCGTTTTTGGGGGGTCGACGTATGGTCGGTCCCGCGTTATTTCGTTTTATACATAATATGCTACAGTTTATGAGCATTGCTACCTCAAACCCTCTGTAAATAGCAACCTCCCATGTAATTAAGCAAGCATTTATTACCTAGCTTAGTAGTATGTTTTAAAAAAGTCTTTGTTACTTAAGCAAGCATTTATTACCTCGAATGTAATGCAGTGTATTTTTGTTCTAAGCTTTTAATTTGTCTGGCTGAAAGTTTCAACTTTTTAGATGGCTTATTTTTTTTCTTGTGGTGTAAGAAAATGGTGAACTCTAGGTGTGTTCATTTACCTGATCGAACTGTAACTGAAATTTTGGTACGCCAAAAATTTGGTTCGGTAAATAACTGAATTATCAAGATTTTGTTAAAAATATTTGAAAATTTGATTTTTTATTTATTTATTTTTATAGAAATAATATATGTTGTAGTATAAGGGGTCATTAGCAATAAACCCTCATATAGATAATAAATGGTGATATGTCCACCCCTTAAATCTTTCTTTGTGATAACCTCCTAGAATTTGTATTCCCGATTCTACCCTGATGTCAATTTTATTCATTTTTTCTCTCTTTCTATAACAATAATCTAATTCCTAAATATTTGCTTCCAAATTCCTAAAAATTTGCTACCAAATCAAAAAAATGATTTTTTTATTATTTTCGGATTTTTTAGCCATTTTTTATTTATTTTTATTTTTTAATATTTTTTTAATAAAAATATTTTTTTTAATTCCTAAAAATCTCAATTATTCCTTTTTTTCTCTCTTTCCATAACAATAATCTAATTCCTACAAATCTGCTTCCAAATTCCTAAAAAATTGCTACCGACTCAAAAAAATAATTTTATTTTTTTTATTTTTTTATTATTTTCAGATTTTTTAGCCATTTTTTATTTATTTTTATTTTTTAATATTTTTTCTAATAATTTTTTTTTAATTCCTAAAAATCTCAATTATTCCTTTTTTCTCTCTTTCCATAACAATAATCTAATACCTAAAAATCTGCTTCCAAATTCCTAAAAATTTGCTACCAAATCAAAAAAATGATTATTTTTATTATTTTTTTTATTTTTTATTATTTTCGGATTTTTAGCCATTTTTAATTTATTTTTATTTTTTAATATTTTTTAAACAAAAAATTGAATATTTTTCTCGACATATTTACAACTCCGAATATGACTATAGTTGAATATGACTATATGTGACTATGTTGACATATTCTTTCTTTATATTGCAATTTTTTACATTTTCAACTTAAAAAGTTCCGATTATATAGTGTGGTATAGTCATGTTTACCAAATTATATAAAACAACGAAGATTCCCTATTGTTTACGAAAACAATCCAATCAAAACCCATACAAAAAATAACAATTTTGAATCTAGTTTTAGAAGTCAACTTGAGAACGAGAAGATAGAATATATTCGAATATGACTACAGTCATATTCAACAATAGTCATATTCGAATATGACTTCAGCCATATTCGAAGAATACATAAACATGACTATAGTCATATTCGAACATGACTGTAGTCCTGTTACTGCTGTTGTTCAGATCTGAAAAAAAATTCGAAAAATACATAAATATAGATAGAAAAATAACGAAGGAGAGTCATGGGGAGTCGACGACAGCGGCGATGGTGGTTGTGGTGAAAGAAAGAGAGTGAGAGAGGCGGCGACGGCGGTGGTGGTGGTGGTGGACAAATGTGGAAAAAAAATAAAAAAATGAGAAAGATAACGAAAAAGAGAGAAAGAGCCTTACGTGGAAACGAAGGAGGAGGCGGCGGCAACGAGCGACGACGGTAATGGTTGTGTACAAATCTTTTTGGAGACGATGGCGATGTAAAGAGAGAGAAATCGAGAGAAACAACGAACACGAGAAAATAATAAATCACTAATCGAGTGAATCAACAATAGTCATATTCGAACCAGAGTAGTCACGTTGATGCTGCTGTTTCAGATCTGGAGAGAGAAAAAAAGAAAAAAATCGAAAATAACGAAAGGGAGGGAGGGGGAGGCGACGACAACGACGGTGAATGACAGAGAGAGTGGGGATGTGGCTACGGTGGTGGTGGTGAACAAATCTGGAAAAAAAAAAGAAAAAAAAACCCTGAGAAATCGAGAGAAAAAGAAAAAAAAACCCTGAGAAATCGAGAGAAAACGAAAAAGAGAAATCTCCATGTAATGCATCTGACGAAGGGCGGCGACGAGGTGGGGGAGGCACCGCTGCCACCACTTGTACGAAGGAGGGCCTCCTGCATTAGGTTTTGGCCGACCGGCGGTTGTAAGGTATTTTTGGCTCCGACGGTGACGAGTGCACGAACAACGGTAACTATGATGAGTAAACTACGGCGGTGGTGTACTGATCTGCAGAAAGTCGGAAAAAGAGAAAAAAAAAAAAAAAAAAAGAAGAGGCGAGATTGAGAACGATAGAGAGAAAAAAAGAGAGAGAGAGGGGAGAGTGAAAGAGTGAAATAAATTATATCACGTTAAAAACCTAATCACATAAGAGCACTTTAGTCTTATCATGATTGGTTATGGGGGTCTCACTAATTAAGAATGAAACTTGGATGTAGGCAAAAGTCTCTAATAGTCAATTGGGTTTAGCTCAAAATATTTTTCATTTGAGGGGGGTATTGCATATTTCCCCTTAGTATGTAAATATTAGTTATGTATGTAAATATATAAATAGAATTTCGGTTTTAGGTAAAATTGAATTACCGGAATTTCCGAAACAAAAAAATCGAATACCGAATTGAATTATCGGCTCGGTATCCCACCCCTACTTATATGATACATAATTGGCTTTAATTTATTTCTTTTTCTTACCTTTTTCCAAATTGAGGGATATTATTATTATTACATGTAAAGAAGGAATATAGTATTTTACTTTATTGGTGTAATGATTTAATAAATCAGTTACCACATTTTGGAGCCATTAGCTAAGAGATGACGTCATTTGTTTTACTTTTTCATCGCTACTTTATATTCTAACCGCCTTATTACAAAAGCTTAAACTCCCGCCAAAAATGGGAGGATAAATAATTACTCAGATGAATTTATTTTTTTAATTTTTATTTTTATGTGAAAATGAAAATGCATAAATTGTTTTACAACAAGCGTAAATTATGTCGCCTGAAATGGCAAAAGCAATTAATTATATGAATCGAACTTTCAGAAATCGAAAAAAATCAAAGCATTCCAGTCTTGGTTGATCTTCGGATCATTCCCCATAAAATAAATAGCCAAAATTAAAAAAAAAATTATTGAATTAAAAAAAAAAAATCGAAACAAGTTTAATTAGGTTCTTCTTCAGACATATGAACTCACAGCATCCCATGAAAGCCAGCCGAATCCAAGAGCAACGCCTTGATTTGTTCCGTGTTCAGTTCTTGCCCTTCTCCCCATTGCTGACATCATCGAAACAAAAAAAAAAACGAAAAAGAAAAAAAAAACGAGTTATGTCAACAAATTCACAGGACAGTGAGTTGTTCGTGCGTGTTTCGTACATATTATAGACAGCAACATAAGTTCGACTTCCTAATTAGAAATAGGATTAAACATTTAAAATGCGTAACAAAATATATATTATATATACATTATATATTATTAATGAAAAATAAGAATTATTTCACTAAATTCACAGGAAAAGCGCACACAAGTTCTTCGTGCATATTATAGACAGTAACATAAGTTCGACTTCCTAATTAGAAATACGGATTCAACATTTAAAATGCGTACGACATTATATTATATATACATCATATATTATTAAAAAAAAATTATTTCACTAAATTCGTAGGAAAAGCGCACACAAGTTCTTCATGCATGTTTCGTGCATATCTATAGTGATAAATGTTCAATTTCCTAATTATAAACTACTAATTAAACTATGTAGCAAAATATAAACAAAAGTACGATAATATATTATATATAAATACCTCGGCTCGAAAAATATCCATGGCGAAGCCGTTGAAGCAGCTAATAACGGCTTGCTGTACATCTAGTCCGAGGTTGTCCAAAGCCCTCAAAGTAGACAACAAAAGGCCCTGCCTTTTCCCGCAGAACATGTGTATGTTTACTGCTCTCCCTTCTCTTAGTTTCACCTCAACCTGTCGATTTTTATTATTATTACCGATTTATTTTTACGTTAAGTGGTAAAATATTAAAGATTCAAATTTTTTTTTTTTTTTAAATATTTCTTACTCGTGGGGGTTGACCGGTTGGGCTTGAAAGAGGGCTAGCAAAAGCACTGGGGCAAAGCTCCTCTTTGATACGGGCGGATAGTCCGGGAGTTGTTGGGGTTAACGGGTAGAAACTCGTACTTGGAGTGGCTGAAGAGCTGCCACCTGGCGTCGACTCGAGTTCGTTGTGTAGGTTGTTGATCTTCTGCAGAAGCTCTTTCAAGTAATCAATTGCATCCCCTAGTATCGAAGCTCTGTCCATCTACAATACGAGAGAGAAAAAAAACGTAATTTATAATGTAATAAATCTTTAAGGAACTATAGATACATTTATGATATACAAGAATCTTGATTTTTTTTTTTTTGTTTTTTTTTATGAATCCAAAAGGTACATGAAATTCATTTTCTGTGACGCATACGTGCGCGTTTTTCTGAGAAATTATTACAAAAAAAAAAGGATCTTGCACCAGCAAGAAAATGTTTCCTTAAGGGAATCAATAACATGTTTTTAAGGAAACATAGGCATATTTTCCAACTTTTGTCGTCGTAAATAAACGTTAACCAGTGAAATTTTTATTCGTGTTAAGCACGAGCGATGCACGTGCACGATGCTATACATGTTACAAGAAAAAAAAAGAAAGAAACATATAACAGCTAGCAATATAAATTTTCGGGCTCGATACGAGTGAAAAAAAATTCAATTAAATCTGATTTCAGTATGTCAGACAAGAAATAAATTCCAGAGTACACAAATATCTTAAATTTTCCTGTCTGTGGTCCAAAAATGCAATGAAAAATAAATAAAATAAAATAAATAAAAATAAATAAATCACTTCATAGTTTACATGTGATTCAAATAAATGCTATTGCAAGTCCCTCAATCAATATCATGCCCAATCGAAAGTTGCATCTCATTAAATTATCGCAAATCTGCTACTCAACGGCCACAAAAAAATTAAATTAAATCGAAATTAAATTAACGAGAACGACAAGAAAAAAAATAAAATAAAACATGTTGAAAAAAAAAAAAAAATTCACGGGCGCAAGGAATTTTAAGTTTACCTTGCTGATCTTGGGGACGACGGACCTCAATGTGTATAATCGATCGTTGAGCTTCTTCCTCCGCCGCCTCTCGGCCATCAGATTCTTCGCCGGAAGGCCCTTCTTCTTGCCCTTTTGATCGCCGCCGCCGTTGATCGCGGTGGTGGCATTGGAACTGTTTCCGTTTCCGACGTTGTTTTTATTTTCCAAGAATTGGTCGTCGGAATCGTAGTTCATGAAACTAGAGCATCCGTCGATGCTGACGTCTTCGAGAAAATCGTCGACGCTGATTGTTTTCCTTTTCTTCGCATTGTCGTCGCTCGAAAGCTCCACATGAACTGCACTAGCAATTGGGGGTTTCGAGATAATCTGATTTTCTTGAATCCCTAAATCCAAACACCCCAAATTGGCAAGATTCTTTCTTGCAGCCCTTTTTTGGAATAGAGTGGGCTGTGCTGCAGCAGCACCCCCATTTGTGGTGAAATTATCGAGTGGTTTGAGAATCTTGGATCTATTTAACAACAGTTGATTCTCATTATTCAAATTCACATTCTCAAATTGGAATCCACTATTCCCAAATTGGGGAAAATTGGTTGAGACGAATTGGGGATTAGGGCTCAAATTGAGGGAGCCCAATTGGGAATTGGAATTGGAATTGGAATTGGAACCCAAATCAGTGAAACCAAAGGGTTGATAGCCACTCTCGCAACCCAAATCGAAGGTTTGATCCAAAGGGTGGTGGTTGTTGATTAGGGTTTTTGTTGGGTGTTGGTGGAAGTAGTTTACCTGGTGGTGGTGGTGATCGAGGTTGTTGAAGATCGACGCCGGCGATGGAGAGCATGAGGCGGAGGAATCCACCGCCTGTAGGAGGAGGTGGTGGTGGTTTTGGTTGTGGTTGTTGTTGTTGTCGGCGGCGGTTTCTGTGAAGCCCGGCGAAATGGGATTTCGTGGTGCCGTGCATGGCGGCCACGGCGGCGGAGTTGGTGGCGGTGGTGGTTAAGTACCAGTCGTGTTGGTCTGCTTGTGCTTCTTCGAGCATGGACTTGAAAGTGGAGAGTGCTCCGATTTCGATTTCTTGTTTGCTTTCTAACCCTGCTGCACCACCGCCGGCGGCGGCGGCGTTGTTGTTGATGATGGTGTTCTGAGGCCAAGAAGAGGTTTGGTCGTCGTCCCCTCTGCCGCCAGCTTCCATATTCCAGACCATGCTGTTAACTCTCGACAACATTCTTTCAACTAACTTCTTTTTCCTCTTGAAAATGGAATCTTTAATTTTTTTTTTCTTTTCTTTTGTCTTAATTAGTGTGTTTCAAGAAAAGGAAAATCTTGATCATGAAAAACACACACACTCAGAGAGAGAGAGAGAGAGAGATGGTTTTCTCAGAATAGGGAACTGTCTTTGTTTGAGTGAGGCAGTGTGAAAAGCTTCCAACGTTCAATTTTGCAGGGAATATATATTTATATATATTTAGAGAGAGAGAGAGAGAGAGAGAGAGAGGATGTTTGTCAGTGTAGTGTAAAAGTTCAACATATATGGAACCTTGTACATAGGTTTTTGTGGTTTTTTTACATGGGTATATATATATATATATATAAAATATGTAAGTATATATCTCACGTGAGATGTTAAGGGAAGTAAGGCCTGATTTGTGGTTTGTGTTGTGTGTGTATATATTTGTGTACAAAAAAGAGGATGTAAGCAAATGATTACAATACAGCTAATTTCAGTGGCAACAAGACAAAGCAGGGCTTATTATATATCTTTCTCAATTAAACCAGCACCATTTTTTGCTTTCTTTCAGGATTAACTTGTCAATAATACCCCTTCTTATTCACTTTATATATATATTATATTATATTTAAGTTGATAATTAAGTTAATAATCAAGTAGAATAATTGATAAATCACTTTAGAATATGTGAATTTTCCATTCCTTTTTTAACTTGATAATTAAGTATACATGTTTATTTTATGTGTAAATTATATATTTTTTTAATTTAATTTATTTTATTATGATAATGGGGGTCTATATTAGAACTTTAAATTTGGTTATTTATGAATGAATTTTTTTTAAGCGCCACACTCTGTGTATTTCACCAAGTGTAGAATTTAGAAGAGTGTTTAAGAATGGAAAATATTTATGTTAATTCTTACAAACAGGTGGTTACTCGTCCGATGAGAAATAACGTGTTATTACCTTCTTAATCACGTGAGTTTTGAAAAAGTAATGACAGGTCGGAAACTGCGTGGAGCGTGATTTTGAGACAATTATACAGATAAGAACTGACATAAGAGCGTTATTATCCATGTATTTTGCATTAATGATAATAATATGGGTAAATTACACTCACACTCCTGTAGTATCGATAATTACAATTACCACCCTGAAACATCGTTAGAAACCTAATATAATAACGCATTGGATAAGTTATTCAATTAGAGTTCTAACGGACTATTAGTTTCATGCAATGGTGTGGACAACATAAGAGCTAGAGGGTGACATGACTCTCCTAACATTTCTTAAATTCTTATTATTTTATATATTATTTATAAATTTTCATCCGTGGTAGCATTAACGGCTCCGCGGAAAACAAATATAGCGCATATCGATCCCCAGGACATGAAATCTTGGGTCCGATAATTGTTTCATGGGTGTAGTTGTAATTACCAATACCACAAGGACCTTAAAGTTATTTTAGCTCACCTCAGAGGTGTAGGTGTAATAATAATAATAATAATAATAATAATAATAATAATAATAATAATAATAATTTGTAGTAGTTTGTATAAACATGTATTATTGAATTTAAACATTATTTAATTGGGTAACTAAATCATTATAGCAAAGCATATAGAAGCCACAAACGCATCTACCAACTTGGTGAATAATATATATATATATATATATATATATATATATCAAAATATAGGTAAAATAAATGAGTGTGTTGTCTGTCAACCAATTCAAAGTAAAGGATGAGAAATAAAAGATAGATATCTAGTTAAAAACTATAATTTGCAGTTGGTCCATTTTAGGCTATAGTAATAATAAATACCTTTTTTTTATTTATTTATTTTCCCTCAAGTAGTACAAATGTACAATTTATCACTTCTCCATTTCCTTGTGAACTATTTAATGTTGCTTTTCCATATGTAGGAACCCCGATCTAAGAACAAGCGCGCGCCCACGTCTTTTTATATGTAAGAGTAAGAAACGCTAGGTAAAAAACGTTATGGTAATTTAAGAAATTCTAGTGGCATTTTTGTAATTTTAATTTTTTTTCATATCCTATTTTCCGGCATTTTTTTTTACTTTTATAGTAAATTAGATTTACAAATCGGGTAGCAAAACTTAACTTTTTTAGTGCTATTTTAGTAATTTAAATTTCACAACTAATTATTTTAATACAATTGAATTATCATATATTTAAATTTTATTTAATGCTAACCGTGCATCACAAAAACTATGGGTTTTTTGTAGGTGACATGGTCCATAAACTACAAACATAGCAAATGACTCTTTGGCATGACCCATCAGATGCAAATATAATTAAATATTTAATTTATTTTGCATTAGATAAAGTAAGTAATGTATATTATATATTCTTTATAAGTGTATTTTTCGTAGAAAAAAAAAAGGAATCTTCAGAATTAATTTGGGAAATTAAATTGGATAGAAAATTGGAAATTTCAATTTTATTTTATATAATTCAAATTCCAATTAAAAAATATCGAATATTTTTGGAAATAGGAATTTCAGAAATCAAAATGAAAAAAAAAATTCAAAATCAGAACTTTTCAGATTGAAACCGTCAAAAATTGGAAATTCGATTCCAACTACCACCCCTAATACAAACTTTACACAAGAACATGTTAAGCAAGTTCAATGGTTTGAATTTTTAAATACAACATGTTGTAGCAAATTAACCAATGCATCTCCTTTCTTATCAACTATATTTATATTTTTATTTTATTATTTTAAAACATAATTATTATTTTGGTTGTGACGTAGAAAACTAGGTTTTGCCAATCTATAAAGAAAACAAAATTATGTTGGGCCCAACATTCTTCCGTATTTTCATTTCCCACCCATTTCTTTTCCCTCAAGCCTTAAACATGGCCCTACTTATTCAAAGTTTTCCAACTATATGGTCCATATAAGAGAATCTTATTTTTATTTTCCTTCTTGTCATTGTAATTAAATATTCAAATGACAAAATAGGAATCTTTTGTAATTATAGAGTCGTGTCTTATTTAAAAATCATCTAAAAAACAAAAAAGAGAAATTCAATTGTAACTTTACTTTGTTTTTTTAGCTTGTTAAGTATTTACTTGTGTATTCTCTAGATTCTTGTATTTAGATTGAAGTCGTAGTATCTCTTAAAAGCCTGTTGTCACGGGAGGTAGATGATTCGGACACCCGTGCGCTTAACTCACAAAACCTGCAAAATAAAAGCACGCGAACTAAATTGGGGGTTGATTCAAGACGCTCAAGTTAGATGTTGAATAAAGGTAAAGATAAAGAATAAGAACTGAAGAGATTTGTTGGAACGTAGCTATGAGAACGAGTCCGTGGTCTTATTTACACTTAATTAGTGGTAGAATTCTAATTAGAGTGTAACTCTATTTAAATATGAGTATAACTGTAATTAAATCTTAATCAATATTATGATCGAAACTCTTAATGTAGTGAACTTATTTAAAAGCAGAAGTTAGTGATTGTGAGTTAAGTTGGAATTAAGTGCTTATTTCTAAAAGTTCGGGGTGTTTGCAAATTAGCTAGAAAATCAGCTAAATTAGAAAAAGCAGGTACATGGTTGCTTTTATAATTATAGCTTAGAACAGCTTCTTTTAAGAGAAGCAAAAACAAAAGTTTATTTTACAAAGTGCAAACACCTAAAAACAGATTATGTATAAAAAAAAAGCTCATAATATATTTTTAAAAGCATTTGCAAACACAACCATAGTAACAGTTCTTTTTAAGTTTTGGGCCCAATTAGGCGTGCACATATATACTTGCATAATATAATAATTTATGCGTATCTATGAAAAATGGAAGGTTATTTAATTGTCAAAAAAATACAATGAAATTGGAATATTTCTCCACAATTCATAATTAATTAATAATTTTATATAAATTCTTACTTTAGGGATTCCCATGTTTAACACAATTCTCACCTAACCGCTTATTAGCCTAAGCCACTCCGCCACCTACTATAGTTGTACATTGTGTACAAATTTACCCTCATTTCTCATTCGTACACCAAAGGTACAAGCAGTAATTCAAGAACCTATTATAGCAATTTATATATGCGTGACCGCAGGGGATCATACCCACCAAATGAGCTCTTAAACATTTTCTTAGTATTTTTAAGGCCTCTTTCGTTTTTTCTTTAAGGCCTTATTATTATGTTATATTGTATATAATTATATATATAAATTAATACGGTTGGTGACTAGTAACAATATATATCAGTGTTTTAAAAATTGGCCGAGGCGGCCGATTAATCGGAATCCGAGGCGGAGGCGATCCAAAACTTTTACGATTTTAGTATAAAGGTTTGAAAAATCGGTTTTTTGACTGGAGGCGAGTTGAGGCGGGTCAAACTTCGGTGGCAAAAATCGGTCAAAAATCGGTTTTTTTTTTAATAATTCAAAACAAAAGTTGGGATTTTAATTAAAAAAAATGAGTTTATGCTTTATTTTGTTTATGTTAATTGTATTGTTAAAGAACTAATGATGTATGCCAGGAATGTTCAAGAATAAATGTAAATTCAAAAAAAATTCCTTTTTTTTTTTTTATAATTTATAAGGATATTTAACTATTATCATCTTATTATTATTAAATTTTTATTATGTTATTATGATATATACATGATGGAGATGTAACTATGTTTAAATATTTTTTTATATATGTTTTGAGTATTAATAAATAATATCTAGAAATATATTATATTAAATATTAAAAATCGATTTATTTCCGATTTATCACTGATTAATCACCGCCGCACCGATTAATCGTGAGTCGGTGCCTGACCACCTCCGATCCGATTACCACTTTTTAAGACCTTGATATATATTAGTTTAATGGAATATTAAATTATCGAATTAATAAATTAACATGTTGTTGTCGTGTCAGCATCGAAAGAAATTATTATTTAGGTGATGTTATTAATTTATCGAGATTTTACTTTAATAGGACTAGTAAAACCTTTGCTTGACAATGTTTTCACTTATTCAAACTCATTATAAAAGTTAACGTCTACAATTAAATGCTATTATTTCATTAAATTAATTGTACCCTCCACCTGAAATTAATTTTGAAAGGAGTGAACTAAAAAAAAACTATTTTATTTTTATTCTTATTACTATATCTTAATTTTGTTAAATGAGCGATTTATTTTATATACAAATCACACTTAATCTAAAAAATCAACATATTTAAATACAAGATTTAATAAAATCAACCCAAAGTTTTATATTTCTTTTTCTTAAAAAAAAAATAATTGCCAGATTCGTATTTACTCAAACTCGATACAAAAGCTAAAGCTCGTTAAATGCTATTATTTCATTAAATAATTTTATGAAATAATTTTATTGTTAAAACTAGGGGTGTGAACGAGCCGAGCTCGCCTCTTTTAGCAGGCTCGAACTCGAGCTCGAGTCTATTTTGTCGAGCTCAAGCTCGTCGAGTTCATTTTTTCTTGGGCTCAAGCTCGTGCCATTTTGTCGAGCTCGAACTCGAGCCCAAGCGCATTTTTTTTATAAATATGTTTTAAATTAATATTAAAATTTATTTAAATAAAAAATACGAAATTAACAATAAATTGTAATTATTTACATTTATTTCTATAATATTTTATATTATTATACATTATTTAAATAAAAATAAAAAAATAAATAAGGCTCGCAAGCCGGATCGTGAGCTACAAACAACTAAAAACTGACTCGAGCTCGGCTAGTCAGAAAGCTCGAGCTCGAAAAACTCGAGTCCGAGTACGAGTTTTTCTCGAGTCGGCTCATCGAGCTCACAAGTCGGCTCGGCTCGTTTAACAACCCTAGTTAAAACCACATCTTAATTAAATTAACCAAAAAGTTTTATAGTATATAAAATACCATAGTTTAACAAAATTCAATAAAAAAATTAAGAGAAAACAAACATCTTATTATTTGTTGGTAATGAGAAAATCAATTCAATTTAATCTAACAAACAACAAACTTCTACAAGTTTGGTACGGATATTTATATCCTGTATGGCGGTGCACCGTAGCTAATGAAGGGTAGCGTATAAGAAAAAAACAGTAGAAAGGTGAAGCGTGAAGATAAATAAATCCAGGTAAAAGAGCAATTCGTTCATCCACATTCATCTATATATCTGTATAATTTGCCCCTCCGTTTTGGAAAATTCCGCCCGAAAGTTTTTAGGGGCCTCTCTCTCTCTCTCTAAAACTACGCAGATACCGTATTTCTCCGTTTTTCTCTCTCTAAAATTTGTTTCTGGCTCGTTTTTAATTTCGATTAATCCTGGTCTGTTATTCATTCAGGTGATATATATATTTATGTTCTGCGCTTGATTTACGTATATGGGCTGAATTTCTAGTAAAGGGGGTTCTCAATTAGGGTTCAATTTAGGGTTTTTGTTGGAAAAAATTGGGTCTTGTTATAGTTTCGCAGAAGTAATTTTTTTTTGTTTTCTAATTCTCTATAACATATAATACGCAGGACTAATTGGGGGAGATATGACGCATACTTTAATTCGACCGACCAATTTGCCTTCTTCTGTAGTTTTGGGCAACAATGGGCAGTTGAATGGATCTAATAAAGCAAGAAAGGCACCGACTATGTTGTGCAGCACACAACCGACTGCCATTAGGTTGCAGAGTTTCTCGGGATTGCGTCGAGCTAATTCGTTAGATATAATGGTGTGGCAACCTCGCCACACTCTCCAATCGAAGGTGGCAGCTGCGATAGCACCTGTGAGGCAAGGTAGAAAGTCGCGGATGGCTCCACGAGCCATGTTCGAGCGCTTCACGGAGAAAGCGATAAAAGTGATTATGCTCGCGCAGGAAGAGGCGAGGCGGCTCGGCCATAATTTCGTCGGAACCGAGCAGATCTTGTTGGGCCTTATCGGTGAGGGCAGTGGAATTGCTGCAAAGGTCATCAAGTCGATGGGGATAAATTTGAAAGATGCACGTATAGAGGTGGAGAAAATTATTGGAAGGGGTAGTGGATTTGTTGCTGTGGAGATTCCTTTCACACCTCGTGCGAAGCGTGTTCTTGAACTCGCTCTCGAAGAAGCCCGCCAGCTCGGTAACTAGTTCGATTGACTCTGTTTTAAGCTTTTTCGATTTCCCGGGATTTTTCATTAGGGAGGTTTACTTTACAGTAGTTGTCAATATGCACTGTTTTTGGATTTAGAGATTTCAATTTGTTTCTTGTTCAGGTCACAATTACATTGGATCAGAGCACGTGCTTCTTGGATTACTGCGCGAGGGTGAAGGTGTGGCTGCACGTGTACTCGAGAACTTAGGGGCTGACCCTAACAATATTCGAACTCAGGCAAGTTTAGTTTGCTACTTTCGATTTTCTACGTTATGAATGTTCTGTGGTTACACTGAAAACTGAATTTTGATGCATTTGAGTAAGCAGGTTATTAGAATGGTGGGTGAAAGTGTAGAGGCTGTTACTGTTAAGGGAGACGGAAACTCGAACGGCAAAATGCCTACTTTGGAGGAGTACGGTACTAATTTGACGAAGCTCGCTGAGGAGGTAGGTTTTTATAGCTTCTCAATTGTCTGAGGTGGTTACGTACGGACAATAACGAAAGCTGGTGCTATTTTTTTTAGGGTAAACTAGACCCTGTTGTTGGAAGGGCGGCTCAAATCGAACGTGTCACTCAAATTTTGGGACGGCGCACAAAAAATAATCCTTGCCTTATTGGAGAACCTGGTGTTGGAAAAACAGCTATTGCAGAAGGCCTTGCCCAGAGAATAGCCAATGGTGATGTTCCAGAGACTATCGAGGGTAAAAAGGTAAACTAGTCTTGATAGCCTTTGTTATATGAAATACTGGAAAATGGTATCTTTCTCATTCTTGAAGAATAATAATTGTTACGGCATACAAGATACTTCTATCAGATAATCTTTAATTGGCTTTTTGATTAAATATTGGTTGGTGATTATTATCCATCTTCATTCAGTGGGGTTACTTACTAGATAGTTGAGCCGATATTATTTGGCATTATACTTTCATAAGTTAGCCTTTTTTGGGTTTCGGTTGAAAATTGCTTCTGTTGCACTGGAATATATTTTTATTTGGGAATCGTTTTTATTTACTCTTCTCATATTTTTCGTTTTCAAAATGATAATGGTTTCGTTTGTATCATTACAGGTTATTACCCTGGATATGGGTCTTCTTGTTGCCGGGACTAAGTACCGTGGTGAATTTGAGGAAAGGTTAAAGAAGCTGATGGAGGAGATTAAGCAAAGCGATGACATCATCCTCTTTATTGATGAGGTGCACACATTGATTGGAGCAGGAGCTGCTGAAGGGGCAATTGACGCTGCAAACATCTTGAAGCCTGCACTAGCTCGTGGCGAACTTCAGGTTAGCTGAGAACATCATAATTGCACCCTTCAGATGAATAATACGGCATAAAAATGGACTTCATTACCAAATAGTTGCAGAACTAAGATTGTCTTTAAAATGATCAAGTGTTGATTGGTTCAAGTTGTGAATAACTTCTACATATAGCCAAAGAAGGGCACACCCCCCTTCCCCCGTTAAAAAAATAATAAATTAAAAAAAACACGTTATTGATGTGCAAGCAAGATTGCACCCCTACTTTGTCCATTACACAATGCGTTTACATTTTCATTTTAATTGTTAAACGAAGTATTTGGTTGGTAAACGGTTAAGCCATGCAGATAAAAAATCTATGGAAGCATGTCTCTACCAATTTGTCATAGATAGTTCGATACACTAAAATGAAAGAAACTACACCTGCCCTGAACTGTTAATTTTACTGCTGGCTTATTGCACTGTGACAGTGGCTTGGTCTCTACTTAAGTACATGAAGATCCTGGCGAAAAAATAATGAAGCAATTCGAATAGTTTAAGCCTTGTTGTTTGTACTGTTTGGTTCTTATTGTTTTTCTCATCTGCAGTCATTAGTAGTTGTGCTTAAGCTGAACTTTTATCATTTTCAGTGTATCGGCGCAACTACCCTGGATGAATACCGTAAGCATATTGAAAAGGACCCTGCACTAGAAAGAAGGTTCCAGCCTGTCAAGGTACCTGAACCCACAGTAGATGAAGCTATTCAGATTCTCAAAGGTCTTCGAGAACGTTACGAGATTCACCACAAGCTCCGCTACACTGATGAATCTTTAGTTGCTGCAGCGCAGTTGGCTCATCAGTATATCAGGTATGTAGTAGGAAGATTGACAAGACCATCTGTTTGATGACATCATGATTAATTACTTTTTTATAAAAGCTATGCATTTTTTACAGTGACCGGTTTTTGCCTGACAAAGCAATTGACTTGATTGATGAAGCTGGTTCACGAGTCCGACTTCGTCATGCACAGGTACGCACTCCTTGCTTGGAACTGCCGTTTTCCTTTTTCATTAGGCTCTGTTTGGTTTGTGGGATTTTCTTTACCCAAGCATACGTGTTTGTTGAGGTTTTGCCATGAAACCTTATATTCTATATTCACGCTTTTGTTTTTTTAAAGCTCCCTGAGGAAGCCAGAGAACTCGAGAAAGAGCTCAGGCAGATTACCAAGGAGAAGAACGAAGCTGTTCGAGGTCAAGACTTTGAGAAGGTAGTTACATATTGTATTATTTATGATACCATTGCAACACTCTGTTATAGTTAAGGTTTAGGGATTATAAATACATATTGTTAACTTTTAGATGATCTTAATCTTTGTAGGCTGGTGAACTACGAGATAGAGAAATGGATTTCAAGGCACAGATATCAGTCCTCATAGACAAAAACAAAGAGATGACCAAGGCAGAAAACGAGGCAGGTGACGGAGGCGCAATCGTAACCGAAGTAGACATTCAGCACATCGTAGCCTCGTGGACCGGCATCCCGGTGGATAAAGTCTCCACCGACGAATCCGACCGCCTCCTCAAGATGGAGGACACCCTCCACACCCGTGTCATTGGTCAGGACGAGGCGGTCAAAGCCATCAGCCGGGCCATCCGCCGGGCCCGCGTGGGCCTCAAGAACCCCAACCGCCCCATCGCCAGCTTCATCTTCTCGGGCCCCACCGGTGTCGGAAAATCCGAGCTGGCAAAATCTCTCGCCACCTACTACTTCGGGTCCGAAGAAGCCATGATCAGGCTCGACATGTCCGAGTTCATGGAGAGGCACACCGTATCGAAACTCATAGGATCGCCGCCCGGTTACGTGGGGTACACCGAGGGAGGGCAGCTGACCGAAGCCGTTCGCCGCCGCCCGTACACGGTTGTGCTTTTTGACGAGATCGAAAAGGCCCACCCCGACGTATTCAACATGATGCTTCAAATTCTTGAAGACGGGCGTTTGACCGATAGTAAAGGTCGGACGGTCGACTTCAAGAATACCCTTTTGATCATGACTTCGAACGTTGGCTCTAGTGTGATCGAAAAGGGTGGCCGTAGGATTGGTTTCGACCTCGATTACGACGAGAAGGATAGCAGTTACAACAGGATCAAGAGCCTTGTGACTGAGGAGTTGAAGCAGTATTTCAGGCCGGAGTTTTTGAATAGGCTTGACGAAATGATTGTGTTTAGGCAGCTAACGAAGCTTGAAGTGAAGGAGATAGCCGATATTATGCTGAAAGAGGTGTTTGTGAGATTGAAGGATAAGGATATCGAGCTTCAAGTGACTGAGAGGTTTAGGGATAGGGTGGTTGACGAGGGCTACGACCCTAGCTATGGGGCTAGGCCGCTTAGACGAGCTATTATGAGGCTTTTGGAGGATAGCATGGCGGAGAAAATGCTTGGCGGTGAAATTAAGGAAGGTGATTCGGTTATTGTTGACGTTGATTCTGATGGGAAGGTGGTTGTTCTCAATGGTAGTAGCGGTGCTCCGTCGGAAATGGCTGAGGAGCCGATTGTGTTTGTCTAGATGTGGGCCCCATTGGTCTTTTTTCTGCACTGTTTCTGCTGATTTTTCTAGCATCGAAAAGTGATTGGTTCGAAGCCAGTCCAAGAAAATGACAGTTTTGAGGCATTTAACTTAAAAATTAGCCTAGATGGTAGACTCTTATTTACTTATACTGAACAATGTGCAGATTTGTAGTCTTATTGGTTAAGTATTATTTCTTTTATGTTTGGTAGAAACAGTTTGAATTTATTATTAATTTTTTTTTCTTCAAGTCTGCTGTGATCTATGCAGTCCTACATTTGGAATGTGCCTAATTGTGAAGAATGATGTAGTTAATAATAATAATTAAAAAAAAAATTAATTACAACTCTAACTCAGATTTTCGCAAACCGAAACAATTTACAAAAATTTCTTTTGAACAATCAAATTCGATTACAAATGGGTAAGTAAACCTCACCACATCGAGGCCAGGTACCAATTCTCTTAGCAAGAGTCGTGATTCAAACGTATCTCGGATTTCATGTGTATTTATACCATCAGAACTTATATAAAAGAAAAAAAGAGCAAATGATTCGTTGCCACTGAAATACAAAGAAAACGGCATCGAGTAGTTACTCATCAATCATAGAATGAGATTGCCTTTGTGTAGGACTAACACTGCCACCTCGACTTATTTTGAGCGCATCCAACGCCTTTTGTATCTCCATAGTCATAGCACTATCGACACTGCCCGAAGAAAGCTTCTTGTGAGCTTTCTGCAAATGGAGTTTCAAAGAGCTGCTGCTCAATCCAGCGTTCTTACCGCATATCGGGCATACCTTCATAACGGGTCTTCTCTGTTGCCATTCCATCGAAACTTTACCGTGCAGCTTTTGATCCAACTCCAATAGGATCCTTGCGAATCCGTCGTTTGGCTGGGCCCTACGGTGAGCTTGTTTCAGAGCGTTCCAAGCTCGCAATAGACTGTAGTTTCTGCATCACAAGGGAAAAAAATATCCTCAGAAATGAACTCTTTTTTCGCCTTGTAATAATGGAAAAAGAAAATGATTTGGTGACTAAAATCATTAGTCAATTTTTTTATAGTTCTGGCGCCGTTATTAGGGGTGGAAATCGGACGGATCAGAATTAGCAATTTCAGAAAAAATATAAAAAGAATTCGGGGGTAGAAAACTAATCCAATTCCGTTCCAAAAAGGATCGGAAAAATCAGAAACAAGAATTTCGGAAATTGGAATGAACGTACTTGTTCCGGAATCGGAAATTTTCGAATTGGAATTGGCGGATCTCGGAAATTCCAATTTTTTAGCCAGCTATAATACAAAATACACAATTATATTGATATTACGTGTAATTTTCGGAATTTTGGAATATATTTGAAAAATTAAACCGGATCGAAAATTGGAATCTAATATGTATCACAATTTAGTTCCAAAAAGAATCAGTAAAAATAAAAAATCGGAACTTTCGTTATTCAAAATGATTAATATTGTTCCAAAATCGGAAATTTTCGGAGTGGAATCTGTGGAATTCGGAATTTTCATTCCAATTTCCACCCCTAGCCGTTATATTCCTAGCTTCAATATCACATGAAAAATATATATTGAGGAAGACAAAAGTTGACATGGGACCGACATTTCTATTTTAATGCTATTAATGTGAAAAGAATATTTAAATTCGATTTTTTCGGGACTTACTTCCTGAGCATCAAATAAGCAAGAACCAATGTCGCGCTCCGACTCTTCCCTTCGAAGCAATGAACCAAAACTTTCCCACCAATGTCTTCCACATGTTTGATAAAGTCATGAGCTTCTTGGAAAATAGCACTTATGTTACTGTCTTCATTGTCGCATATCTGCTTCCGTAAATAAATTCAATAACCAAGAAACAATTCAGAATCATACAGCAAAATGATATAAAAAGGGCACCAATTTGCAAACACGAAAAGAGTTCAATTTTCTTTTTTATGAAGTATCGAGCATCACTTACTGAGAAATTTTTGTATTCGAATAACTCAGGAAACTGAGAATCGGACTGTCCGATTTCATTCGAGCACAGGCATAAAATATGCGTGATTCCTAAAAGCTGTAGAGTGTATACAGAACTAGCGGCAAGGGCCCCACCGATGAACAGAGTGCTCGATATCGGTGAAGGCTTCTCCGTATTTGCCGCATCAGAAATCAATCCTATTCTCTCGAGAATATGCTCTAGCCTGACCTGATAATTAAGACAATAAGAAATTAATATTAGGTTATTTCCAAGGCAACGACGAAAGAGTGCATTATCGAGATTGTGAGAATATTGCAAAAATGAAGAAAAAAAATTACCTTCAACTCGTAAGCATCGACCACGTAATTGCTATCACTACCTTCGAAAAAGCCGGTTGTGAAATTATTTTCCTGACACAGTTTTATTGCGTCGTTTTTAAGCATATCGTTCCATTGTTCTAACTCTTTGTTTGAATCTGCATCCACCTGAAAAAAAGCAAACAGTGGAGAATCGATTCATATAACAGAAACGAAACCTTTGCAAAGATGAACTGAAATCTAGTTAATACAAAACCATTCCTGACGGACAGAGATGGCTAATAAAGCAGTAATAAGTGCAGCCATAAGAAATGAGAAAGATCAAACCAAACGAAACTAATCTAATACAAATTCTCGTATGCAAATATTAATCTTGAAATAGAACCCTTAAATTTCTTTCTATACACTGTCACAACAAACCTTTGCATATCTATGGAAGTCGCGGAGCTTCGAAGTTAACCGCAAGCTACGTAAAGATTCGCTATTCCCTTTACTGTACTTTCCATGCCAGCTGTCACGCGACATCGGAGAGCAACTATCTGAACTTTCCCTCAATGCCCTTGTACCCGTTCTCACTAAATCGGAATCATTTGAATCCGAAGCACCATCACTAACGGGCCGATGATCCCTATTGGGCGAGGGAGAATCAACAGCCATGAGATCCTCTTTCTCGAGATCCGAACAAGAGGATTTATTTATGATAGTCAGAAAAGCCCTCAAAAGCACGTCCAGTTTCTGGTGGAGCGTCAGAAGAAAAATATGAAATGCCTGCAAATCCCTGAGCGCCGCTCGAAACCCGCTTCGAAATGCGTGCACAGCCGAAGTAAATTCATTTTCTCGAACTTCTCGAATATCATCGACATTCGATTTCCCTAATTTTCCTCCGGTTATTTCATGCAAGAGCTGCGACGCATATTCGGAACTGTTTATGAGTAGCTCAACCACCTTAGGATAATTCGCTTGATCGTTCGCTCGTTTGCCAGCTGGCGGTCTACGTGGCACCCCTGAATCTATAGCCACAATATGTATATCGGGACCCACAGACTCGTTCAAGTTGAGACTCCTTACACTCATATTGCTCGATTTGGGAGAATCTGCAATTTCGGAAACATCGGAACTTTGTGAGACCAGTCCTTGTTGAGGAGGACTTAGTCTACTGTCTACAGAATTTGCTCTTCGTTCCTTTTGAAGCGCACGGATTACTTTCGGTCTGTATCTATTGATTGCAGAATCGAAGGCCACTTCGAGTGGGTCGATATTCGAGTTGGCTACTTTTTCGGCCAAGAGTAGATTTGCGAAATTGCCACGCCATCTGAGGTGGCGGCACGGGAGGCGGTCTTCGTTTCTTATGACGAGGTCTAGCATCAAGATTCTGCCAAGTGCCGCTGCTGTCTTTTCCGCAACTTCTCGCGATTCGAAGGCGTTCGAGCTTTCCAATAATGGAGATCCGTGCACGTAACTGTTGATATAATTGAATTACCAATCACTTCATAAATATAGGAGAATTATATCTAACATCATTCACATCTACTAACTGTTTGCAAGTGAGATTTAAATTTTTGAAAGTCTATGTACTATGCTAGTAAACAAAATCGCAACCAGATCAATGTACCCTTTTCCTTGTAAAATAAGCTCGATATTTCTGCTAGTTTAGTAAGAAGCAGAGCAAATTAAATACACTAGATAAAAACATTGCACCATATCAATTGACAAATTAAAATACGTACTTCATCACAACCAATCCTTACGTTCCCAATTTATAACCGGATACGAAACTAAAAAAAAAAAAATAAAAAAAAATCGTACTTCATCACTAGGAGGCATCGGCTGAGCTCGAGAGCTTCTAGAAGTTCCGAACATGTTATTTCACCGAGTTCATCGCCTTCTGTAATAGCGGCTTCTTTTGCAGTTTCTGCAGCTTCCTTGATCTGCAGCCACTCGGGACTGGCTATGTGAATGACTCTAGCCTGTTATTTTCAGTTTCACTGTTTAGGAAATATAATTTATTATTATTATTTTTTTAATTATTATTATTTAGAGTAAGAAGGTACAACTTGTGGAGTTTGGACACCTAGCCACTTGGCAAATTCATAGCCGAGCCGTTCGGACTGAGTAGCCATCCTTGAAGACGAGAATTTTATCACAGCAGCAGATTCCTTAGGACAAGATTCGTCACTTTCTGGTTGGCTAAATAGAGCGAAGAAAACAACACCACCTGAATTAACAGTCACCTGAACCAGAAAAATCAAACGTAAATTAATTTACTTAAGAATCATAATTAAAAAAAAAAAAAAAACCACAATGTTTTGTCTGTCGGAACAAACCTCGAGTGGTTTGTTCATGTCATCCTCAGACTGGTCAGTACTACTGCCGTGCTCCGTGTGGTGAAGAGAAGAAAGCGTGTTCCACGAGAACGAGTTCGATTCAATGTCCAACATGTCGGCTTTGCCGAGCCTCTCCCATAAGCTGATATCAGTAGCTTGCTCGGGCGGGGTAGCTTTTACGTCCACGTTATATTCTTCCAGACTGAACCAAATATGTATTAGCAATCTCGAACTTCCTAATCATCGTTACACGAATGCTTAAGCTTCGATTAAGACACAACTCGTCATTCGTAATCGTACGAACTACTTTTTTTTTTTTTTCAGTGGATTGATTACGTCGATTAATAAATTAATCAGCGAAGAGAGAGAGGAATAAAGCAACAACCTCAAGAGCATACTCTCGGCGTGGTGAGGGCGGTGAGGGAAACCCGAGGCCCGATACTTGCTGCTGCGTTTGCGGACAAGCTCAAGCCATTGCGCAAACCTGTAAGCGGGCCCTGCTGTAATATCCCCTAACATATACAACACCTGCATTTTGTTTTTCCTCAAATCAAATTTTCTTAAACCTAACAAATTGTAAGAACACACACACACACACACACACACACACAAATTGGTGAAATTATTAAATACCCTTGAAGTGACGGTGAGGGGTAGAGGGGCGTCTGATTCGCCGTGTGCCAGATCGAAATCTCTGTATTCTTCCTCTTTCTGCATATACATTTTCTGATTTATGATTAATATATATATATTTCCCCAATTCACCCAAAAAATCCGTACAAATTTCTATAAATTCTAAACACATATAGTAGCAAATGCCAGATCTAAAGGATACCTAACTTTAGGCACAAATACCCATAATTATGTGTGTGTGTGTGTGTGTGATATATACATACACACCGCACTCTCTCTCTCTCTCTCTCTAAATATATATATAACGTAAGCTTTTCTGTTTTCGTGGATGGGGGTAATGATTAGAATACTGAAAAATGACGTGTAAAAAAGGCAGAGAGAGAGAGAGAGAGAGAGAGAGAGAGAGAGAGAGAGTACATGAAAAGTGCAGGGGTCTTCTTCTCTAAGATCACCACCGGCCGTTTCTTTATCTTTTTTCATTTTCCTGATTTGAATTAACGATGGGAAAATTATTTGTGTTTGAAATAAAATGCGGATCTCGCGGCTAATTTGAGGGTAGTCGGCGTACGGCGGCGACGGGCGGAGAGATAAACGGAAAAGAGAAGCAAAGAGTCAAAAGTGAAGCAGCAATGAGTGCCGGGATTGGATTTAGTCGGTGAGTCGGTGGTTATTCGAAACCCGCCCAAAATTATTAGAAAATATAAACGTTAATGATTGTTTAGTATTTAATTTGTATAGAATAATTTATAATAATACTATGATCTGACATTAATTAATTTCTGTCAACTTTAAAAAAACAAAAAAAAACTAAAGAGATAATTATATTTAATTAATGTATTGAATTGAATTGAATAGGTAATATTTATATTGATTCTTTGTTCAGTGGTTATCATCTTCTCTCACGGCATAAATACAGTATACTGTATATTTATTGTTCATCGTACCAAAATCTATGCAGCCTCGTTCTGGAAAATAATAAATCAAAGATTAAATTAATAATTTGTGATCATCAAATTTTATAGAATCAGTTACGCCTACATTTAGCTCATTACTTGCTCTGTAACGTCTGAAATGTCCTTCACTTTATATTACAATTACAACTACGTTACAGTTTTCACTTTAAAACTGCCATTAGTAAAAAAAATGTGCTCTAATGAAACATTTTGCAATACTTATTTATTGATTTCCCTCGAAACGTTTTCCAATGATATTTTAGACCAAACAACGTATTCCAAAGACGTGTTCCAACAAACATTTTCGGACATCGGCAACTTTATATTTATATTTGTTTGCTTTGAAACTACTGTAAGTCACAAAGTTCTGTATTCCCACAAACGAAACCGAGACGAAAAAGACATGAAGATCAAGCTGGAGATTTCGATAAACACTCAATCACTCAGAGAATTAACATGGTTTGCATTGTTGGAATAAATTGAATAAATGTGAATTTAATATTGGAATTAGTGGCAATTCAAAATTAGAAGAAACTTAAAAAGAGAGAGTGCAGTGCTCAAAGTATAGTACGAGGTACTAACTGATACATAAAATTAGCCAAAACAGATTTACGAGCTAGAACAAGCAAAACAAACAAACAAAAAAAAATCACTTTTCATCAATTTTCAACAAGTAAATTGTAGATATTGTTTCATTTTTTTTTTATGGATTTTGAAACCTCAACCCCCATCACCCCCCCACACCCAACACACACACACAACCAAAAAAGAAAAATAAAATATTGAAAAAAAAAATTGGACAAAAGAACCCCTATAAAATGCTCAAGACTATTTACAACCTTTAACATATTTACTTTCACCACCAAAAATAAAAAATGAAGTTCAAAACTCAAGTGGCAAAGGCTTTCCACTAAGAAATGACTTGAACAGCACAAATGATCTCTCTGGCTGCGAAAATGGAGCTTCATGTGAAGCGCCTCTTACGGTTCCAAACGATAGAATATTCCCGTAAACTTGCGTCCAACCACCAACCTACACACACACAAACGTAAAAATAACCGCCAAAATAATGAATTTTATTTATACATGCTTTTATTATATCCTCTCTAAACTAATTAAATAGTCGTTCTTTCTTACCTGCTGTCCTTCGAACCAAACTCGATAAGTTACAGTTGTGTTTAGTCCGAGTTGTTTTGCCAGTTTGTGAACCAATGTTCGAGTTCCGGTCAATGGGATTACGGAATCTTGATCCCCACTGTTAAAAGACGATAGTATTTAGTTTCTCAAAGAATAAAGAAAATATAAGTGTATATATATATATATATATATATATATATATATATATATACACACGCGATTACTATCTAATTTTGTACCTGTAGATTAGTACTGGAATTCCTTCTTTGACAAGCGATCCTATGATTGAGATTGTCGGTATCTCTAAATCGAGCATGTCGTAGTCAAGTATGCTGCAGCAGATAAAATTTTTCGTTTTAATGTCGTGAAAACAAGATCAGAAGTTGCTCGTGCACTTGCAAACTAAATCATAACCCGGAGAAATATTTTTTGTCTATTGAAAAAAATTTGGAGCTTGCCCAAAGAGAAATTGAAAATCTCGTAAATCAATGTTTTACCATTACCTACGACTTCTGCGTGAATTAGTACTACAGTTAAACCTCTATAAATTAATAGAGTCGGAACCAACAAAATTCTATTAAATTTAGCGAAATATTAAATTATCGAACTAATAATTTAGTACGTTTTTACTGAGTCGGGATCGAAAGAAATTATTATTTAAGCGAGGTTCTAAACTTTACCGAGAATTATTTTATCGACGTTCTACTGTATTTACTATTTAGTATACGTTAACTACGTTGGCCTAATTTTATTTTTTGGACGATAATTAACGAGATTTTAGAATTTACTTGCTGCAAACATCCCATTTGCGCACCCCAACGAGCCTAGCATGGAGAGCCATCTGTACATCCCTCCGGTTTAAATATTTCGTAATCTCATCTTCGACACATACATCTATCCTCTCGGAATTTTGCTGCAAATTTTGGAACGAAAAATTATCGACATATAAATGAAAGAAGTCAAAAAAGTAAAAACCAAACGAAAATGCTCGGTTTTTAATATAACTTACATGAGGAGCAATGATCTTGGATTGTGAAAGGACAGACGGTATACATACATCTAACGTTACATCGTATTTGTCCACAAATCTGCTGCTTTCTCTGTTTACGAGGCTCATAACCCTCGAACAAAGAACCGAAACGGAATCTCTGTAATATTCACTCACATATCTCGAATAATTGCAACCGGAAGTGAACACGTTGTACGTAGAGTCCGATATTAGCCCATGTGACCAAAAGTATTCTGCTCGTGAATTATAGTCCGTGCTAAATTCCAATAGTGGGTTCCCGAGCTGCACGAGAACAAAGCCCACTTCACAAAATCATCAAATTTTATTTTTTTATTTTATTTTATTTTTTAATATACGACATTTTTTTACTGCAAGAAATGCTTACTGCTATCCCGGTGAGATTGATTATCTTTTTCTTCTTGTTGAGTTGAATTATGAGGTTAGCAAGTTGAGGTACGTAATGGCCTAATCCACAAAAACCGAAAGAAATGAAAATCAGAAAGAGAATTACCGTTCACATTCGTGTAACAAAATAAACAAATTCGAAGCAACTTATATATTTACACTCGAGTATGTGTTATATTACCTGCGTAACTTTCCCCGGTTATAAAGAGACTGCTGTTCCTATACTGGGGAAAATCGAGGAACCACTTTTGCAAGAACACGAGATTGTCTTTGGCTGAACAAAATTCAAACGAAAGCATCGTAAATTTCCGTATGCGAAAAAAACTAAAGAATTTCGAAAATCGGGCGTTGCAGCCAGAATTGCTTACCTGTTATTTCGTCGTTCACTGTTTCGTACGAGGATGCTCCGGTCGAGTACGAGAATCCTACGCCAACCGGTGTATCCAGATACAGCATATTTGCCTCTACAAACATGACAACACATGAAATTAACAAAAAAATAATAAAAATTGCATCTTTCCTTAATGGATCAAAAACAAGAAAGAAAATCAAGAAAATATGTGTATGAAGTTTACCTCTGTTCCAACTATACTCATTTCTGAGGAGAACCTCTACATTTGGTCTGAATGGTCCATTCTCCGAAAATGCTCCGACACCAATCGAAGAACAACCAGGCCCTTCAAGAAACAAATCAAAGGTTCAACCTTTTTGTCAATTGCAATTAAATTATGATGACCCTTCTGGTAATTAATAAAATCTCTCTCTCTCTCTCTCTCTCTCTCTCTCTCTCTCTCTCTCTCTCTCTCTCTCTCTCTCTCTCTCTCTCTCTCTCTCTCTCTCTCTCTCTCTCTCTCTCTCTCTCTCTCTCTCTCTCTCTCTCTCTCTCTCTCTCACACACACACACACACACACACCCATGTAGACCAAATAGCAATGCAGCAAGTGCCATACCTCCATTCAACCACAAAACCAGAGGTTTTGAAGGTGGATCAATTTCTGCCTCAACGAAATAGTAAAACAGAGCCTTTTCTCTCTTCTCATCCACAGAAACATAACCGGAGAACTGCTGAAAATCAACCGGCGGTTGTCCCGGCAAACGGGCGATCCTGTCGGGGTGGTGATGAGTCGGCAAACAAGAAGCAATGCAAATGAAACAGCTGAAAACAAGAAATAAAGCTGCAGACATTTTCATTCACTCGGTCAAATAAGCAAACAGTTGGTAGGGGTGAAGTAGAAGTGAATGATAAAGCACCTGTTGAGATAGAGAGGGAGAGAGAGAGAGAGAGAGAGAGAGAGATGGTGTATGTATATATATATATATATATCGTTATTGAAGCAGAAAAGCGTGCAGTTGTTGGAGTTATTAGTGGGGGCACAAGAAAAGATTGCAGCAAATAAGCATTGCACTTTCTCGGCTTGTCTTTTTTTAATGTTTATACCCAAAAAGGTTGGCTTCTTTGAAAGAGAAGCCAAAACATTGAAAATAGTGTTCTTTAGTTTCTCAATCTATTCATACACACACACATGAGAGAGAGAGACACTCAAGTATGGTTTGTGTGTAATAATAGTTGAGGAATTATTCGATGTGTTTCACCGTGTGCAGCATCTGCCAGGGGTGAGAAACAAACCAAGAAACCGAAAAATCGATTCGAAAATCGAAAAGACCGAGCCGATATGTACCGTCCCGACTTAAAATCGCATATACAGTAATTTTTTTTTTTTTTTTGAAAAACCGAAAATATCGGTTTGTGTATGGAGAATAAAAAAATTACCGAACCAATTTATACAAAATGATGTTTTTTTTATATATATATTATAAATACTTACCCTAGCGTACCTCTATCTTTCGAGCGCCTCCATGTGACATATTTTTCTATTAATTAATTTTAGTTGTGACGTGTTTTTTATTAGTTAATTTTCGGTTGTTATTTGTTAATTTTCTCAATTAAATATAATGAAAGTCCAAATATATTGGTTTTATGCCGAACCGATTCGAACAAATAGACAAAATCGAAACCGAAAATAAACCGAATTGATACCGAAACCGTTAACCGAAAAATCGATTAACACCGAACCGAAAAAAAACCGACATATTCGGTTTTTAAAATATGAAAAACCGATATTATCGGTACGTGTTTGGTTTATTGGAAAAACCGAACCATGCCGACCCGTGCACACCCCTAGCATTTGCATCACCCTCAAATATGATGTTCTTTTTACTTGTTTTTCGGTAATTTGTTTGTTTTTTTCTTCACATCAAAAGTTCGAGGTTAGTAAAGAGTCGGATGGTATACTTAAGGGTGTTTGTTATTCAAAATATATGTATATGATCGAAATTGTGGACTTTGGACTTTTGGTCGATAGTTGAATTTGAACTACTTCACCACAGCTCCGTGATTTTATAGCTAATTAACATAGTGTATGTCAATAGTGGACGTCACATATCTGCAACCCGTATATAATATCAATTTTATGGAGTCAAATAAATGACCACGACGCAAAAGTGACCTATTCGGGAAGAAAAAAATATTTGAGCAAAAAAAAAAGGTGTAGTACTAAATATTTGGTTTTGAACAAGTGAGTTTTAAGGTAAAAGACTACTATACTAGACAAAGCATATACAAGTACCATGATTCTCATGGTTTTATTGCTACAACATAAACCAAAATAGGTGAAATATGTTCCTTAGAAATTGGCTTTTATATTCCAAGATTTGCTTTTCTTCTATGATGGTGTGTTGTCTCCCTTATAGACATGCTACATCAAAGTTGTGCAATTTTTATGTAAGCAATACATAATTGAGTGGTTTTTTATTTTTTTACTATAGGATAATGACATGCTTCTTGTATTATAAAAATTACTTCATTTCCCAAGGGTTGTGATGATTCATTTGTTGGAAATTCGGAAATGTTTGTTTGCCTTTTAATCATGACTTCCGAGCTTATAAGTTGTTTAAGAGTTTAAAAGCTCTTTCAAAATGTTTAGTAATTTTCTTCTTAAAACATTTTAAAAACTAAAAAAATATGCTAATGAGCAAATATGATATATCGTTGAAAAAGTACATATATCCCATCTTTTTATACAAGATCATTATCAAAACACTTTTTTCTGAAAAAATAAGACATAACAGCTTATCAGCTCTTAAAACAATTTATCAGATATAAGAGTTTGCCAATTGTTTAAAATAAACTCAGCAAAAGAGGATCTTACGTATGTTGAAAAATGAACATTATATTTATTTTTAATAATGAGGATTGAGGAATGAGAAAAGTGTATGCAAAAATTGAATCAAAACACCAAAGTCACATAAAGTGATAAAACCTAGTCTACATTGAAATCAAGATGTTCAATTTCAACCAATTTTTTTTTTTGGTTATAAATAATATAAACCAATTTATGTGATAGTAAGTATGTGCATAATTATTTAATAAATTATAAGCACTAGTCCATAAATTCAAAAGTGGAAAACAGCATTAAAGTCAGAAAATACTTTTTTTTTTTTTTTTAATTCAAAATGTTCAAAAATCTTCTTTATGCACTTATGTAAGCAAATCTTATTAATATAGATTTGACATTTTGAGGAAAAAAAAGGCATCTTAAAAATATACCCACAAGGTATCTACAACTACCATCACCATCCATTCACATTTTCACTTTTTTCACATACCCCATTATTAATATTATTCCTCCCCCCAAACAGATGACCCCCACCCCCACCCCTACCCCACCCCCACCTGCTCAAAAAAAAAATGTCCCTACAAATCACCCTACACAAATTGCATCTTTTATCAATGCAAGAAAATATTTTAGATTTTCTCTTTTTTTTTTCTTTTTTTTGGGGGGGGGGGGGGGCTTCCCACTTATAAGGACTGGAATTCGGATCCGATCGAAGTTAATAAACTAATTTCGATCCCGAAAAAAATGTCATTGGAGAAATTTCAACAGTTGGAAATTCTCGTGCGGTAACCAATGGATTCAAAAATTTCGTTCCGACTTTCACCACTAATATACAATATGCATAACAATAATAATAAAATATAATGATGATGCTAAAATGTAGATCATCTGGGGTGGTGTAGAAAATGAACTGGAGAGCAAAGCAGATCAGTAGCTTGACAACTTGATGATCCTGAGGTACCTGCGATCATAGAACACATGAACTAAGCCGGGGGTTGATCCGGCGGAAACCCCTCCGACGCTCAAGTCAGACGTGCTGATCATAGAAATGGTCCAGAGAATACGTATTGTAGTATTGCTCAGTTAATAGGACGTACCTTAATAAAATGAGTAAAACCTCTATTTATATGTCGTTTATTGGGTTTGGTTTGCTTTGTTGGGCCCAAGCCTTACTTGAAGGTGTTTGGGCCTCGGTGATATTGGTCTTCGATATTGGGCTCGTAGCCCAGTAGGTAAAGAAATTGTAGGCCCATTGGGTTGGCCCAATTAGGCATATCATATAATAATATTTAACTTCTCTAAAAAAAATTAATGATAATATTTAAAGTGTTTAAAGTTTTAAAATCATATCAAAAATTGAAAATTCGACCCCAAGCCACTCGCACTAGTGCCAAAGGCAGGAAGACAAAGATGGGGTATTTAATAACTAATATATAGGAAAAAAATCACGGCCACCCTAAGGTACGACCAAATTACGAAAAAAAATTCTCTTGTTTGAATAATTACAACCAACCCCCTATTTTAAATATTTTTACATAAAATTTATGTAATTTGGTTATTTACAGAACCAAATCGTATATGAAATGCTGGTGTACCGAAATTTCCGTTCGGTTTTACCGATTCAGCATTCATAAATTTACATCTTGAGGGATATTTTTGTAAGACTATATAATTAAGGGGCGGCTGTAATTATCCAAATTGAAGATGGATTTTCATAATTTGATCATAACTCAGAGGCGGCCGTAATTTGGCCTAATATATATTTACAATATTAAATTGAAGGCATTAGCACTTAGCACCAAAATCAAGGCTTCTTTGTAGGGCTTTTTACATCAGAGGCAGATAAACACGAAACAGTGTCTCCTTATTCCAATGGAGGGGCTCCTCTCTCTCTCTCTCTCTCTCTCTCTTATTCCAATGGAGGGGCTCCTCTCTCTCTCTCTCTCTCTCTCTCTGCAATATAATATGACAGTTTTAGGTGCACTCCCATGTGGTCTTGCAATCATCATTATACCCATTTTAAGGGCACGCTATTGGTAATTATAGTACAATGTCAATATTTACCCAAAAAATAAATAAATAAATAGTACAATTTTATTTTTTTAATTGGAGTTTTTAATATCTTCCTCCTTTTGAGAAGAGTGGAAATCAACACCACTTGACTTCACTCATACATATAAGTTCTAGAGTAAATACTAAATAGTAATCCTATAGTTTCTAATTAACGGTCGTTTTTTTTATTTTACACGAGTATTAAAAATGTCAATAAATGTATTTTGATTTTAGAAAAAACACATTAAAATGACTAAAATAACTTTAATTATTTAATAATGTGATAAAAGAGAATTAATACTAAGAGTTGAATTAATAATGTTAAACCAAGAAAAATGCAGTATTGAAAATCTAAAATGACGGGATAATATAAAATACAATTTTTTTTAAATATAGTTTTTACGGAACAGAGAAAGTACCCTGCACAATAAATTAGTGGATTTGCACCAGTATATAATTATTGGAGATATTAATATTTAGTGAAATCATATTTGGGCACGCCCAAAAGATGGAGCTTTTTTTTTTTGATGAATTACATGGTCAACTTTTGGCTCTCTTGATTAATGGAATTTTTATTTTTACTTTTGAAAAAATGATTAATGGAATTGTTTAATGAAACTTTGCGTAAGTTCTAACCAAGGTCATGACTTTGACTTTTATTAGTCTTTTTGCTGAAAGGCAGACTCCATCTATGTTCCTAAAAGAGGTTTTTGCTTTGTACATCTTGTCTATTTCTTGGGACACAACAGAAACATAAATCGAAACCGAAACTTTAGGCTATAAATTATGAAAATGGAGTTTGAAAATAAAACCACAGGCTCCTATTTTTGTGTCATATGCAGATGAGGAAATTTGCACGAGAAACTGCAACAACTGAACGAAGTTAAAAGCATATATAAATTGTAAGAACAGTTAAAAAATCGAAGACTCTATCAATAGTTCAAATACAACGCTCGTGTGTACTCTACAGTACATATATGGGGCTTTACATTTTCTCGACTTCAAAGAACCTTTGGTTCGGATTAAAAAGGAAAACGAAAAATAAATAAAAAATAAAAAAGACCAATCGAAGAAAATAACACAAAACTTGCATCTGGGAAACCCCGTAAATACACAAATAATTTTCGGTGAAAAAAATATATTTATAGCAGGAATTATAAACGATTGTGTATTCACTAGTATTCTGATTCGGTAACATGTTTGCCGTTAGCAAATGAAGGGTGGCCGATCTCCTTCCTTGATGCATCCCACAGCTGCTGTTCGATTCCCAATTTCCTCAGCTCTGTTAAACCTCTTTCAACTGTGATATTCAAAACCCGATATCAAATATTACGTAGCGTTGATTTATGAGGACGGCTATTTAGTTCAATATTCAATATTCAGAAGTCTCGAACAAAAAAATTAAATAAATAAATAAAAGCTTGTGTCTATAGATGATAATCTAGCATGTGCCGGATGAGAATTTTCCGTTTGGCGTTAAGAGTAAATAATATTTACCGTCAACAGCATCATGTGAAGTTGGGGATTGTCCACTGCGGCTTTTCCATAGTTGAAGTCTCTCGTCTGCAATATCTTCCTCGACACTATGAACTTTTGCCCTTCTCCAGAAATATGTAAGCCATGCCTATCAACATGGAATCAAACTTTAGACACACACACACACACACCGACACACAGATAAGACCGATTTTGCATCTAAATATAGAATTGAAACCCATGTTACCTTTGCTCAAGTTCAAATCTAATGACTCTTTGTCTCATAGGTTAAAGGACATTAGACAAACTTAAGAATACGAGGATAAGACGCTTGACAATTTAAGTCCAAATTTTCTATAAAAAGAAAAAGAAACGGAATACATTTTCTGACAGTAACCCAGTAACAGAACATCCCATGAATCGTGATCATCGTCATAGTACTTGTACCAAGGCTTAAGAAGTGATCATAAAAAGTACTTATTTCAAAAACCCGAATTATCAACTCAATAATAATTGATTACTGAATAATGATATCTAATTCAATTAAAATACAGTTATAAAAATTAATTCTAAATTAAGCTTCCTTCATCGCGTAGCAATTGACCCTCAAATGTATGAGACTATAAGTTTCCTAAAACTCCCAGTAACCCTGATTTAGAGACTATAAAGCCAATCACACAGCATTGACTCTCGGAGATAATAGCACGCACTTGGGAGACTATATCCCAATGGGCAATTACTTGTTTAGGGAAAATTTATGCCTAACCCTAGAGACCAAATTCAGCTACGTGTTCAAGCACTCCTGTTCTACAGGCACATCTTTCCATCCTCCCATAAATATAAATGTGTATGCAAGGATATCAAAATATACGAAGTTAAGAATTAACAACTAGAAAACATACCTCCTTAAACAGAACATCCTCAGACTCCTCTTGACTCAATTCTGCAAAAAAATATAGAGATGTCGAACATTTTGTGAACAATATATCAAAGTGTGTACTAGAGAAGTAAATAGATCTTTGTTCTACAGGTGCATCTTTCCATACTCTATCTCTTAGGGAGGTGAAGAAAAAGAAAAAGAGCAAGTTTCTTACCAAATGCCTCAGTGTACTTGGGATCAACAGACGACTTAGGATCTACAATATAATAGGAAAAAGAATAAGTTTTGGTGGTTATTAATTTAATTTTCATTAACACATTATATCTACTTAAAAATAATTATAAAACGTCATACAAGGTAAAATTTGATTGTAAAATATTTTCAAAAGCAGACATATTTAAGTATATTGTAACCATATATTAAGAGAAGTTCAGAACATCTTAAATATGTAAGGAATCACAATCTGAAGAATTACTACATGTTAAGATTGGTTCATCTAGTCAGTTTACAATAACGTCTGAAAGATAAAATTACTTGAGACCACCGATGTTCTTATGATGTCAATCAACTGGGGAATGCAACAATAAAAATATTTCGGATAATTAGATAGATATTGTGGACCATGCCTGAAAAGGAATGCCGAACTATGGTTGAGCGTCGGTTCTGAGCCAGCGCGAGCACAACAGCATCCTCGACCTTCAGATAATTAGATAGATAAGTGAGAAAAAATCAACTAGCAGGCTTCTATCCTCGTAAAATTGGAATCTAGAACTGATTGAGGATAGTATACATACAGCAAAACTGGAAATAGGAAAAAAGGCAAACTTTATATGATTGACAAGATAAAAAGTAAACACCTTCAAGGAAGCTAATTCCCTTAAACCCATCTCAACTGAAAGCATACTCTCGATATTTCCTTCCCCAGTTAAATCATTCAAATCACGAGTGTTTTTGCTCCGTTCCGAATCATCTCCACCTGCTCAATGCCAGAGGGAAGAAAACCTGCTTAGCTGTGGATGAAAAGAACAGAGACGATGTCCAAGAATAATTCTAACTTCACACGTGTTGCCATGAAAGAAAACCGTACCATCCCAGGTTTCTTCTCTGGCCTTCTGTCCAGCAGAGATGACTACCTCATAGGGAAGAGGAGCAAAAGATGACCAGTGCTCATACTTGGGAACTGCTATATCTGCGCATATAGCTGTCGGCAAAGAATTTTTGAGAAACGCATCAAGAGCCAATTTGCTTTTATAAATATAAAAGTAAATAAGAGATTATATGAAGTAGGTATCGCTCTGACGTAAAAAATGTTTAGTTTCTATAGTTAAATGCTATACATAATAAATTTTCGCAAATATGGCAAGTCAATTTGAAAGAGAAATTTTGGACATATGTTTATCTTTAGTGCATAGAGAAAACAAAAAAATGCCAGATATTGCTGCATGAGTGTCTTTTTCCTTCAATTGGATTTTTTTAATGTACATTACCATAACGTGCAGCTAAACCCCAATAACGAGCAAGCCAACATCTCTTCAGAACAACCTCTTCCTGAAACAGAAAACCCGAAATCAATAACGTAAGTTAGGATCCGAAAAATCTATTGGTCAGAGTATCCTTCACAATGTTCTATTAAGAATTGAAAGAGCACCATCTCTTCATGCGTCAAGATCATCCTCTGTGTCATTGTTCGAAGAGCTTTTGCTTCAGATTCAGCTTCGTGAAGCTGTTCGGCAGCAGTCGTAGTCTCATCTTTTAGGTTCTGACATAATATTCATAATGAACTTCATGAGAACGCATGGTGATGCACATTAGTCGACAGAAAACATGGTGCAACTGAAAAATATATGACAACCTCAAGTTCTGCACGAAGAGCTGCAAGTTCTTCATCTCGCCCATCCTTTGTCAGCTTTGCCGCTTTGAAAGCAGCCTGTATTACAAACAAAAATACAGGATCACAGTTGTTCAATTTAGCGTACTCTTCATAGATATTTACCCACAAAACATACATCTCCATAACAATAAAAGCAAAATGTTTTAGTATATATACATTTTGTATGTATGTGTGAAATGTATGTATGCGTCATTATGTATAGACAGAGGTTACCTCTCTTTGTCGCAGAGCTGCTTCCTTCCTGCAAATCATATAACCCATCAGACACAATGTACGTAGCTCACAGCACAGTTACGCAATAAAAATTTACCGGCTCAACAATTTAGCTTCCAAGGATACACCTTCTCCCAGGGAAGCAACCTGTAAAATTGTAGTTTAAGAGTTAAGAAGAATATTGAACCAGCAAGGATTCACTACAAAAGGTGGCAGAATCATCATTTCAATGCAACAGCTCAACAAGGAAATCATAATGGTAACAATGTCGGGATTGAGTGATAATTAAACTTAGAAAAAGAAATAAACATATCATTCACAAGTCTATATCCAAATAACTGGTAGTTAAGGAAACTTGTTCTGCATCATCAGAAGAGAGCACATTAATCTGATAAAAGACAATTTATGACCTATAAGTTAACAAAATGATCGAACTAATTCAAACTGAATGAATAAGGACTGATCCAACTCTAACCTGTTTCTCTAGCTCCCGGGCTCTTGCATCTGCTTCCTCACGCTTTTCCTCTGCATGACGAAGCTGTGGTGCAAATTAGCCATTATGTTCCAGAAAAGATCATATATAAACAGATTGCTTTTCAAAGACTTTCTTTACTGATTTACGTTTGGATTTTTAATAGATTTCTGTACAGAGGGGCAAGCACAAAAACTCACCTTATCTAAGATTATTTCATTCTCTTCTTGTAGCATATCAAGCTGCAAATTTAGTTGACTTAGTCAGCTCGCATATAAATGGATGGTTCCAGTTTTTGCAATTTATGAAACAAACATCAATAAAAGAACCAATAGTCGAAGCTTAATGGAAAGCAACAGCCTTAGTATTGCGGAAGTTAGCTTAGAATTATTGAAGTAGGTTGAAAAGGCATACTTCATCACGAAGTGCAGAGGCTTCATGCTGATTTCCTGAATCTTTCCTGGACCGTCCCACATCAGATGCAAACCTGCATTATTTGCCAACAATGAAGGATGCAAAATGTGTCTATCATGCTCTTTGTTACTAACTAAAATGTGGATGTCTACCAATATCCTCGAAAGGGTGGCATAATACCAGTCAAAACTTTATCTTCATGAAAATCTTAGAACAATTGTAACTGGCTCAAATTAATCATTTATTGGCAAAGTAGGAGGCAGTAAGGAGTGGGCTGGCTACAATTCTGGATTTCTAATGCCAACTGAAAGATCGGAGTAGCCCGATATCAAGGTGGCGGAGGATGGATGAAGGAATAAAATAAAGGGATAAAAACAGAACATACCCGATTGTTTGGTCTAAGTACATGCAGACTCCTTCATAATTTTGAAAACACCCACCTCCATAACACTAGCGACTATTAGAAAAGTATACCATTAGGACACCCTCAATGAAGTCTCTAAACTCTAAACTCCATGAGGCTCTATGTATTGAAGACTTCGGTAAAAAAACCCAACCCCAATGGAGGTCCTAAAAGGGCTCCAAAATAGAGATTATACCCAAAAGTCTTCTAAATATTTTCCTAAATTTAGGCTTGTATGTAGTGACTGTAAACTAAAGTGGGCCCAGATAAATTAATAAAAAATAAGATAAGTTTATTATTTTTATTTATGTGTTTGAAATAATTATTTCCGTTGCTTTAAATATTTATTTTTGTTGTTGATATACATTTAAATTTAAGATAATGCAAATAAAAATAAATACAGAAAAATTCATACAGAAAATTAAGCTATAATCATATCATAACACGAAACAGTTCATAAATTAGTACAGAAAATTAATATAGAAAATAATTATATAGAGTCTCTCGCTGGAGATGAATTTTCTTTTAGAAACCTCGAGTCTCTAAGTGGGTTTCAAAATGAAATTTAGAGCCCTTTATAGATACTCCATTGAGAATGCCCTTATAATTGACTAACATTATTCGAAATTTTTCTTTATTTCCTAATAAAAATATCCTAAACATTTAAGAGAAAAAATTCTAAATCAAACATATGTTCAAATTCAAAATTTGCAATATACTTATATCTAGATATAGATCTGATGGATTGTCTCTTCTCCTCATTCAAATCACCATACTCGCCTTCAGGCTTAAAAAGTTTTAAGTTAACATCTAATTCCTAAAACTAAAGTTATCGAAACAAAGAGTTAATTGTTTTTATGATGGTGTCAACAACTGATATTAGTTGAAATAGAAGATGAGGTGATCTATGAATAAAGTGCGAGAGATGCATGCAATGAACTTTTTTAAATACTAATAATTTAATTAGTAATTTGAAATGTACTTATTAATATTTACAATGTAATTTCAAAATTTCATCACTTCAGGAGAATTTATTATAAAATGGATAAAACCTCATAAACATTAGGGTAAATTTGGACAGCTTTTTCTTTTTTAAATTTGGACAAACCAAAAGAAGTTAAACATTGTCACTTTCAAAAAAAAAATAAACACTGATGCTGAGAATATAAAGCTGGGTTACATGAACAATGATCATAAATTTAGCAGAAATGGATGCAATTACATAAAACAGGCCGTACTCTATCTAGAACAAATTTTGACGGAGATTTTTGTGTACCTCTAAGGGTAATTTGGTCTAAAATTTATCAAATCCCTAAGTTAGTAAATGCTTGGTAAAATTAAGTTTCAATTATTTTTCTATGGCATCTTTATCCTTCACAAAGATCCTTCACAAACAATTAATTAAACAATAAATTCTACTTCATCTCTCACTCTAAAGATTCTTACTGTAGGATTCATCAATCCTCTCACTCCAACGGAATGCCCCCTTAATGACTTTAATATAGTTCAGGTCCATAGAAATATTTGCCACTTAGTATGAGCCAGAAAGAAGGGTAATTTTGTCAACTGAACCTTGATGCTCAATTGGTGATAGAATTAGCTACACAGTTGATGTACTGTACCCAATAATAGTTCAAATGGGTTGTTAAATTGCAATAAGAAACTAAAAAAAATTGCCATCTTACCTATTGTCTCTCAGTCTGTTAATAGGAGGTTCAATTGGAGGGATGATAGCTGGAGTTTTCAAAGAGGGTTTACTTGGTGGTGCCACCGTAGTTGTTGCTGTACGAACAGAAGCTGAAGGTCTTCCAGCTGATGTGGAACGAACCGTAGGAGTGACATCCATAAAGTTCCGACCTAACTACAGACAACAGCATCCAGTTTGAAATATAATCCACGAGCAAGAGAAAAATCGTAATTAGAAATTATCGTTCCACTCTAATTTACACTAAACATGCTGACCTAAATGCACAAAATTCTCAAGCACGTGATAGCATTTCACAGCATTACAAATCGCATTTGAGCAAATGTAACAATCAATGTCTCAATCAAAGTGTGTTCATGTGCCAACTAATTTCGGCCCAGACTTAGATGGAACCAATTAACATAATATATGTTACAAAAAAGTCCATTCTTGTTTAATTTGCAATCCTATAACCAAAATGCAAAATTCTAATATTTCATCTCTGAGTTCCGACTTTTTTTTCTATTATGAGAGAGCAGACGAATTAATCTATCAAGCTAGCAACCATTAACAGCGATCTCAACACTCTCAACACTGATCCCAACATAATTCTGAAATGTATAGCAGAAATCAAATAATCCTTAATTGATCCACACATAATAGACCAAAATCAAAAAAAAAAAAAATTAAAGTAAGATAGACAGCGAATAACAACAAATCAACAAAGAGTCAACTAAAATCAAGTTAAATTCAACTCAAAATCGGTGAGGAAGAGATATAAAAAAAATTACCGCAGGTGATGGAGATCTATTCGGCTTGGAGAGCGAAACCCCGGACAAACCACCGATGCTGTTGCTACTGTCACTCCTATTAATATTCATCGGCGGCGGAGGGCCGAACCGGAACCCTAGATCATCGTCCTCATCGTCCTCGTCATCATCGGGAGTCTTGGACGCCATGACACGAGCCAGGCGGTGAGCTGCCGCTTTGGCTGCCGCGTTCTGCGTCCTCTTGATAGTCGACATCCCGGCGACGGCCGGGGGAGGCCTTGATCGAGGGTGAGCCGGCGAACCGACCGGAGAAGACGAACCAGTGCTGCTGGATCCGCCGCTCCACTGACGGGCGTAGACCGGGCTCTCGGTCCTCTTCCGATTCATGAACTTCGCCGATACTATATAATTGTATCTCTGTGTGTGTGTGTGTGTATTCTGTATGTATCTGTGTATGTATATATGCCGAGCTAGATTTTGGGGAATTGATAGATTTTACGGAGGGAGGGGTAAACGGAAAATAGAATTCCGTTGACGGTGGAAATGGAGACGAAATCGGAAGGAAATTTTTTATATTCAGACAAATTGATTTTCACAAAAACACTAAATACTATTTGGATGTATAATTTTTATATATAATTTAACATGAATTATTGTATCAACCAAGTCGTTGTAGTATAGTGGTAAGTATTCCCGCCTGTCACGCGGGTGACCCGGGTTCGATCACCGGCAACGGCGATTTTAATTTTTGTTCATATTTTCGAGGGTTTTGGGTCTTTTGGCCCATTAATAGATCCAATAAATCGTCAAATGAAATACCTTGTCAAACTTCATTTATTATTATTTGATTAGAAAACCAAAACTTTTTTTTTAATAAGGTTACACCTGGGGGTGAAAATTGGAATGAGAATTCCGATTTCCGCCGAACCCGATCCAAAATATTCCGATTTTGGAACGACTTTTTCAATTCCGAAATTCCGGTTTCCGAAAATTCCGAAAAAAATCGGATCGGAATCGGAAATACATAACATAATTTCGGAATTTTCGATTTCCGATCCAAAATTATTCCGATTATTTCCGATTTTTCCAATTATTATTAATATTACTATATATACTATATCTATCCGCAGTTATGTACTAATTAGTAATTACTAACTATGTATATTAGTATATTACTAATATTTTTTTCGATTATATGTTTTGTCATTTGCGTGAGTCTCTTGTATTTGTGAAGATTACTTGTTTGATTTTTCTTTTTGCAATTTTAGCTACTGTGTCGGTGAACAATTTATCCCTTTTTTCTTTTCTTTTTTTTTTTTGGGAAAATTCCAAAAATATTCCGAAAATGAAAATTTCCGAAAATTTTCGATTTTCCGAAAATTCCAAAAAAATCGGAATTGGAATTGGAAGGCGTTCTGGACTTCCGAAAAAAATCAGAAAATTTCCGAAACACCTAAATCCGATCCGATCTGCCCGATTTCCACCCCTACTTACACCTGATGTAAGGTCAAATTATGAAATACCCCTCATGTTTGGTTATCACAAACACCCCTCAAATATTAATCTTCTTACACGTCCACATTTATGGGGTCAAATTAAACAAAATTTTCTAAATTCCGCGAAATGTTTTCTAGTTTGTACTCGTTTTGTGGAAAAATGCAGTTTCTAATGCACCACAATCTGATATTTACAAGTCAAGAGACACATCTCATGATCATCTTGTTTCAAAATGTGGAACTCGAATTGGATAAAACGGGTACAAACTGAAGAATATTGCACTAAATTTGACACCACAATGGTGGACGTGTAAGAAGATTCATAGTTGATAGGTGGTTGTAATTACCCAAACATGAGGGGTTTTTTTTCGTAATTTGACCTTACCGTAGGGGTTGAAAATAATTTACCCTAATAATTAATTAGCAAAAAATGAACACAAACATGCAATAATTGAAGACACATAAAAGAAGCAACCAAATCTCTTACACAGCAAAAAACCACACACAAAACATCATGAGTCCCATGTTCTTTTTGTACTAATTAAATGAACTAGCAAAATAATCATTCATAAAAATAAATCCTAATTCCAAATTTTCCAAGAAAATCTCCACTCTAGAAGCTCACAATGAATACTAGAAATTCCTCAATAATATAAGTCTTCTCTGTTTTTTCGCCATTTAAGCTTTCTTCTCGACAAGTTTATCGATCAAATCAGCAGCTTCTTGAATTGTGGTTATAATCTCAGAGTTCTCTTCTTCGACGCTGATGTCGAATTCTTCCTCTAACCCCATAACTATTTCCACCTGCGTGCCAAATCAACACGTAACGATTATTTATATAAAAATCAAATATGGTTGTGCTAATCAAGATCTGGAGATAAAAGGGGGATTTATTATTACGGTGTCGAGAGAATCAGCACCGAGTTCGGTGAATTTAGTCTGAGGGGTGAGTTCTGTTTCGGGGGTTAACGCGAGTTGCTTCCTTACAATGGCACTCACTTTCTCCAATGTCTCCGGTTTCGCCTGTTAATATTATATTTTTTTAAACAACGTATATTTATTAAAATGTACTCAAATGTCCGAACACGAGTACTATTAAATGTTGTATGTAAAACTTACGGCACAAATTTGGAGGCGAGACGTTCTGATAGAAGGAAAGCCACCAGTTCTTGGCAAACCGAACGACACCAAACTCGAACTTTTTCCAATAATCTGAAAAAAAAAAAAAAAAAAAAAAAAAACGAAGATACATCATAATTCATAGAACAAATGCTTAATTCAAATCATCATGTTCCGAAATGAATATAAATATAATGAATTCGATTTCGGGAAGTACGAACATTTGGTCACGCCGGCATTGTGTTTAAAAACGTGACTAGTTCGAAGTACGGACTCGAAACTCATAGCATAACTTAAATGAATTCACCCAAGCAATTTTTATTCGATTAGTTATCATGAATATTATAGAATTCTTAAAAGGCATAGTTAGAAAATGCAGGATTATATTATCCAATAATCAAAACATATAATCAAGAAAATGCTGACAGACAGCAAAACATATGCATGCTAACCTGGTTATCAGTTCTAACAGACAAGTTAACTGAAGCCCCAAATCCGACAAATGTAGCTGAAATGGAAGCCATTTTGGAATCTCAAGAAGAAGAAAAAAAAAACAGAGTGTAGAGAGAGAGAGAGTTGCTAATGAACCCTATCTAGAGTTTTAGATAACAAGAAACGGTAAAGAGGGGCAAAATGGGAATAAGTGTTCTTGGAAGTATTAGGTCAAAAAAACATGCAGTATGAGAAATAGTGACCCCTAATAAAATTATGAGTGGTGAATATTCACTCTTATCGCTAGGCCTATCCCTTTGTTTTTCTTGTTTTTTAGTTCATCAACTTTTGTTTTGTCCATCTTTGCCCTTTATTTATTTCTTTTATTTTTTATTTTCCCTTTTCGAGCGGAAGAAAGGCAAATTACGACCATCCATAAGAGGAGTTAGATGCTGCACGTGGTTATTTACATCGGATGAATTTGAACTGTAGATTTGTTTAAATAACTATCTACTAAGCACACATAACATATAGGTGTGTGTGATTATGTGTAGATTTGCGGTTCGAATCCACCTAGTGTAAATAATTTGATTGAGTCAAAATCAAATTACAAACATCCCCACCACTATATGTTTTCTTTACAAAAAAACCCTTCTCGGTAGGTGAAATTGAGACTGTAACAGTGGACGTGTGACGTGTAAGATAATATATCGTTGAAAAATAACTAAATACATATAACATAAAATACCAGTGTAAAAATATTATAATTGTTATATAAATAATGTTAGGTAAATTATTAATTGTTATATTCATATTATTAAATAATTTTAATTAAATTATTAACAAATGTAATATAATAAATTTTGAAAAATATAAAGAACCGTTATTCGATAATCCCGTACAATAATGTATTTATAACAAAATTATAGATGATGTTTATTTTAATAAGAATAGATTATAACTCATTATAATTATTTTTTCTAGTTTAAAATAAAACTATAATGATGAGTAGAATCAAAGTATTGTTTTGTGATTTTTCTTTTAATACTTGGTTTAATAATATTTTAAAGAGAAAAGGGGTTGACAAGAATATATTAATCGAATTAACGATTTATAATTAAAGTATACCATCTTTTTAACTAAATTTTATCATAAATATAAAAATTATAAAATATAAATTCATAACAATCGTAAAAATAAAATTGTTAATAGTAAGATTTGCATCGATTAAACTGAAGTTCTTTCAATTCGTAAACTTTACTCAAAGATTTTAATTGATTAAACTCAACTATTGACAATGACGTAGTAATCAAATTAACTATTTATAACTAAAGTGATATCTTTCAATTGAGGCGGCCGTTATATGCAAGCCCATTTTTTTAGTAGTTCAAAACCACATAAAGGAGTTGATTAGTTTAAGCCCGCAAATTAATCTAATTTTATTACATCAAGACCAAAGATGACAAATATACCCTTATCCACAAATAATACTCAAATACAAATAAATCTTATTTTTGATTTGTTCAAGACCAAAAATCAAAAAAAAAATAAAATATCACGACTGTCAACCAACGAGACTTTCATCGCACCGACGATGACCAGCGACCCACCCACTGCACCATTACCACCACCAACAAGTAAGTTCATTTTACTAAACTTTTGTTTGTAAATTCGAAAACATTAATCGAGCATCGATGTCCTTTTTACTAAATTTCTATTTGTAAATTCGAAAACATTAATCGAACATGGATTCATGATAAATATATATGAATGAACATTAATCAATGCTTATTTCTTGTTGGGTTGCAATGATTTGGCCGATTTTGGAAAAAAATTAAGATTGAAATTGGTTTTTTTATTTTTTTTCGTTGGTTTCCGAAATCGGTTTATCCAGATCGATTTTGTACAATAAAATCGGCGTCATAATACCGATTTTTGTTAACCAAATCGGCGACACAACGTCGACTTTACAAGTCAAAATCGGCGTTCTAATGTCGATTATTGAGTACAAAATCGGTTTTCGAATACCGATATTTTTTGATTTTTTTTTTTTTAACTAACACATTATATATTTGGTTAATTGATATTTTTTAAATATTTGGAACGAAAATGTTTATCACCATTCGGTGGCGTCTACCACGCCTTTAACCCAATCGAGTAGAACTTTCTGTATCTCAAATATTTATTCGTTAGATAATTTATTTGAATAATCCTCCATCAATCCCCTAGGCTGATGCACGAAAGTATGAGAAAACGGTCTTAAAAAAACACAGATAATAAAATCGGCATTTAAAAACCGATTTCTGTAGTACAAGTCGGCATGACAATACCGATAATACAAAAACAAATCGGTGTTGTCATGCCGATTTTTACTACAAAAATCGGTGTTTAACTACCGATTTTTATTAAAATAATCGGAATGTGGTTACCGACTTTAGTAACAAAAATCGGTATTCGCAGACCGATTTTTTGTATCGTCGAATTTTTTTCCAACAAAAAAAACGACTCAAAAGCAAAAATAAAGGGTTAAAACATATTTCATTGTGTTCTCTACCCTCGTAAACCACCATATCATTGTTTTCTGGTTCCATCGTGAATGTTTGGTATGTATTTGATTATTTTGGTGTGTGGGATTTCTTTGTGGGTTTGTGAAGAAGAAGGAGAGTTTTAAGTCGTGAAATAAGGAAGATGGGTTTCTGGATTTATGTATTTTATTTGGTCTTGCACAAAGGAAATGATTTCTTTTTATTTTTTTAATGTTTTGTGTGTTTTATTTGATTTTAAATTTCATTAAGGGTAAATTAGTATTTTTATATTGAAGGTCTTGAATTAATAAAAAAATGGGCTTGCATATAACCGCCGCCTTCAATTGAATTTTATCTTAAAAAAATAATAATATTTAATTTGTAAAAATTTTATGAACCAAATGTTAGTCCATTAGTCAAGGCAGTGATGGACACACACTTATTCCGTTAGTTTTAAACATAAGGGATCAAATGTGTTTTTTATGAACATAGGGGGTCAAATGTTAAATCGATTCAAACTTGAGGTCAAAAAACCGTATTTTTCCCTTTTACTAAGTTGCAACATACACCATCGCTAATCCACGATCACCATTCACCACCACAACCACCACAACCACCACCACCGCCACAACCACCCTCTTCTCCCAATTCCCTGCCGATGGCGACCCAAAATAGACCATCATCTCTATCTCTCCGTAGCCGCCGCTTCCACCGCCTTGTACCCGCCGCCTATTTTGCCGATCAGAATTGGGAATGGTGCCCTATTTTTCCCTGAGATTATTGCGTTCTCCTTGGTCGAATAAATGGCGTCGCCGGAGTAGTTTTCAGAAATATTCCGAAAATGCGTCCGCCGGCCGGTCAATAATCAACGTGACACTCTCTCTCTTCATGTGTAAGGTAGAAAAATATGGTATTTTTGGCTTTATATTTGACGGATTTAATTTCGTATTTGCAGACTGCTTCGAGTAATGTAGCTCCGCCTTGCACTTCATGTAATTTTTTACTCATCAATTTGTTGGATATGAAGCCCTTTATATACTGTTGGAACTTGGCTTGTTTTGAGTTTTTCCTTATTTTCTTTCCCATAGATTAATTGACAAATCAATCACCAGGAGCTCATGTAATTCACTTGGGAGATACTTTTCGATCAACGCGGGATCCTCTTGCAGCTACAATGGTAATACTTGTAAATAATGTAAAATTTGTCCGATCATTTGATTTAATCTAAATTAAATTTTATTTTTCGATGATAGCGTTTTAATAATTATATGGAAAACTGGATATATAATTTTCTAACTGGTACGGAAGATTTTTTCTCCTCGACATATTGAAATGTTCATGATTCCCCGGATATTGGCTTTTGCGTAAAGTTTATCAAGAGTTTCTTCAGTACTTCTATACGAATTTTTGTAGTTTGTAGTATTGTCGGCTTCCATGAGAATCTTCACCAAGCCTCATAGAATTCATTAGTAAAAGTACACGTGGCAGATTGCATTTTCCATTTTTACCTTCTCGACTTTCTTCTTGATCTTTTTTGATTTTTATTTTTTTGCTCGAATTTATTCTTAAAGGAGGATGTGGAATCTTTTCGATTTGTTTGACCTTGGTAAGTTCTAAGTACAATCAATTTCTGAAGATTTACCTTAAAGAGAGGAGAAATTAACAGATACTTCGGACTAGACGATATTCCTTCCCCTTGTCGTGTCGTTTTTCACTTATATCAAATGATGTTAGGGAAGATGCCAGTTGGATAAGTTTAATTGCGATATGACGACTTCAAGTTAGGAGTTCGAATTTGGAGGGGGGAATTAGAAAAATAGTACAAAGATAGATTGCTAAAGAGGATCGAAACACCTAATGTTATGTGTTCCATAGAACGTAATTTGTAGGCTAAGAATATCGATGAGAAGCACAACATATTTAGAACCTTTACCTGACATGAAGGATGTTATGATCGAAGGGGTACAAAACAATAAACTTTTTCGTTGTGGTTGTAATATTTGAATATGTTTCACACTTGTCGGTAGCAGTGCCCTATATTTGAAATTAATTTATAGGTAATAAGTTATAAGAGTTTAACCATATGGACTAGTTTGGAAAGAAATCCGAAGGCCATTATGACATAAGAGTGTCATTCTTATGAAGAAGGAAAAAAATAAATGGGAGCAAGTAAAAGGATTAAATATTGACAAATTGTCAACAAAGTGGCTGTAGTTTAGTGGTAAGAATTCCACGTTGTGGCCGTGGAGACCTGGGCTCGAATCCCAGCAGCCACAAATTATATATTTTTGTGAATTCTCAGCTAATGCAGTAAAGTTCTTTTGGACCAAAACATATTTTTTTCCAAATACTTGATTATTGCAACATATGTGAATTACAGGAATTGCTTATACATCCTATACCTGATTACAACAATGGCAAAATAATTAAAATAATTTTAATGTACAGTCCAACAGTCGATTATGCACTGTGTAATACCTTCACATTAATTATATATGTATGATCCCCGATGGCAAAATTGCACCCCTGGATTTCACTTACCATAGTGACAGGTTTGAATTTTCACTAATGGTATATGACTTTCTCTCTCTCATTAAATAGCATTCTTCCAAATATTGCAACAACTTTTGTTTGACAGATAGGCGTTTCACCAAACAAGCCTACTCACCGGATAAACATTGTTTTTAAAATTTGCAAGCATTGCACAAAGTCTCGGTTTTTAGGGCCTGCTGCATGCTTCCCATCTTGCACAAAAATACAATTCTTGATTTGTGTGTCCCGCATAAAGCAAGGGCGCTTTACCTTTCCTTCATTTTCATTTTGCAAAGATCCGTTTTCTTGAATTTTAGGCTTCTAGAAGAGAATGGCTGCCGCAAACTCACAAGAGAGAAACACGAGCAATGCTGATTCGCCAGGTTCAAATATGGTGGAGACGTTGAAACAATTACTTGTTAGGTATGGAACTCAGCTTCTTAAACCGTGTGATTCTACAGAAGAGCTTCTGGAATTACTTCATGTAAGCTTCACCCTCGATTTTACAAATTAACAAGGAATTTTTCCTTACACATGCTTTTATGTTGACGCAGAGTAATTTTCTCTGCATGCTTGATTCTGCCTGTAAATCTGGCTGTTGATTTGTGTTGTCGTAACTTAAAATCATTTTTCATTTATAGGACTACGATGTTTTTGATCTTTGATTTTTTTTTTGGCTCTCAGAATTTACATTGTGTTTTAATACACACACGTCATGATCACAAGGACCGGGTACAATTGGCACTTCAATCATCAAAAGAAGCGCTAATTGCCAATGAGCTTATAAGACATACTGAAAGGGATGTAAGAATTTCAGTGGCCTCATGTATCTCTGAGATCGTACGAATAACTGCACCTGATGAACCATACAAGGAAGACCAGATGAAGGTAACTCTAAATATGTTTAGATGGCAATCTTTTTTTTTTTTTTTTTTTTAAATTATTTTATTTAGGGTAAATTACAACCACTCCCTGAGGTATGGTCAAATTACGAAACCCCCTCCTGTTTGGGTAATTACAACCACCCTTTCAACTATAAATCTTCTTACACGTCCACCCTTGCGGTTTCAAATTTAGTAGAACCTTCTAGGTTATATGGAATATTCTCAATTTTGTACCCGTTTTATCCCATTCGAGCTCCACATTTTGAAGCCAGATGATCATAAGATGCGTTTTTTGGCTTGTAAATATCAGATTTTGGTGCATCAGAAACTGTATTTTTGCACAAAACGAGTACAAACTAGAGAACATTCCATGGAATCTAGATGATTGTGTTGAATTTGACACCATAAGGGTGGAGATGTAGGAAGATTCATAGTTGAGGGGTTAGATGTAATTATCCAAACATGAGATTTTTTTTTTGTAATTTGACCATACCTCCGGGGAGTGGTTGTAATTTGCCCTTTTATTTAAATAATGATGCATAAAGTTTTGTCAATGTATCGTGTGCAGGAGTATTTTGGGCTTCTTAATACTGCTCTTGAGAACTTGTCTTTCATGTCTGGCGGAGCCTATTTAAAAGCTGTGTCGATCGTCAGGTCTATTTCATTATGTCAGTCATGCGTGCTGATGTTGGATCATCAGTTGTACAACAGTATCCATCAAATGTTTCACCTGTTCTTCAATATCATAAGGTTAGAGATCCATCAATTTTGCATTCCGTTTTCCTCTACTTCTACATGCTTTTGCACAATATATATATATATATATATATATATATATATATATATATATATATATATATTCTGATCTCAGTTGATTTTTAACTTAATCGTTGTGATCTTTGCATTTTCTCTGACACGCGAGTAAATTTGTCCTCGATGTGAAGGTTTTCTGACGTGGTATATGCTCTTTTAATTTATGCTTACCATGAAAATTGTTGTTGGTTGGCAAATAGTTTATTCTCTTCTACACGTTTGTGTGTGTGTGCGTGTGTTATGCTTAAGTATGAACTACGTATATTTTATTCTTGCCAACTTTAGAAGCAGCCACCATCCGGCTATATTCTCAAACATGGTGAATATCATGGCGGGGATCGTTCGTGCCAATGATGACAATGATGAATTTTCCGTGAAACTTGCAAAAATCCTTCTTGCTAGGTTAAAGAAGGAAGATCAAGTAACTTCTCCTATTTTTTTCAGTGTTTTTTGTTCTATATCGTTCGTGCCGTATCACACTGTTTTTTGGTCTTATTAAAGCATTTTTTTTCTACTTCAGAATGTTACACCAGCTTCATTCCAGCTGGCGGAGGGCACATTTAAGAATTGCTCCAGTGCACTCAAGGAGCATCTTCCTAAAGCTGCAAAAAGTTTGGGAATTCCCGTCGAGGATTATGCTGAAGTAGTTGCATCGTTATTACAGGGTGCAACTCAAGGGGAAAAAACCATGGTGTGTTTTTCAAGAAAAGAAAAAAAAATAAAGCTAGAATAAGAAGATGCATTACGTGTTTTGGTTAGGTTGGAGATAATGTATTTGTTGCTACGGTTGTGTTTGGTATAACTTTGAAGTTGCATTTGGATGGAAGGGTTTGAGCAAAAGAGTTTTAAAAATTTAAAATAACAAATTCATGCGTTTGTTTGGATTGATTTATTTGACAATGGATTTTAAAACCCTTAGTTCTCATTTAAGTTATTTTTTGAGTCGTGACGTCGAATTTCAAATCCTTCTGTATGAGTCATTTTAAATCCATTCCTCTCGAATCAATTTAATCCATATGTTCAATTACTTTATATATCTTTCTACCTTGGCTTTAACCACGTAACGTTAAAACCTTTGGTGTTTTTTTCATGCATATTTGATATTAGATTCGATCACCAGAATTAAGATAATATACGACACATTAAATGCTAATGTTTAAGGGAGAGGAAATAACTAAAGTACATTTCTCCAATCTAACGCGCGTATCAGTTTTATGTCTAAGATATTTATTTTTTCATACTAAGCCTTTCGTTGAGTTACTTTAATTGAACTCGTCAGAAATTTAGAGCATGTTTGCATGAGCTTCTAGAATAAAAGTCCATTTTTCAATTGTACTTCTTATTAAGTTTTCTTTATTAAGTTCGGTGATTATATTACGAGATGTTTGGTGAAATATACTTTAAAGGAACTATAAATTTATTAAGTTTTGGAAATGGATTTCAGAAGTAACAATGTCTAACGTATCGAGAGTGAACTTTCCGGAAGGGATTTATCCCGAATGACTTAATTTGTTTCGTGACAGCCAATGTGATGAATTAATATTGTTGCTTCCAATTATATTGACTTCAGTTTTTTTTTGTTTATTTTCCAGGACGTTGAACATATAGGAGTAAATGCCACGTGTCAGGTGGAAGGTGGTCTAGCAGTAACTCCACCTGGCTTAACGGTAAGCGATGATGTTCTTATTCGGAAAAAAAGGAGTCGGAAACCGAACTCCTTACTTAAACCAGAGGAGGGCTACGATCCTTTGTGGACGTTGCAAGGGTCTCGGACGAGGGAAGCTCCCGCAAAGAAAGGCAAGAGAAAGACTATTCTTTCTGAAGACCCAATCGGTGCCATCCTTAACAAGGTAATAAGTGAATTGTGTAGATCTTTTGCAATTAATTGAACGCCAGATGGCGACTTCTCTCGACTTTTAGTCGTTAACTGTTAGATAACTCTCTTTTGCATAATGCAGAGATTGCCTTCTCAATCCACATCTACATCATCGAAAGGGGAAGCCTTATCTGGGGAAGTCTCTAACTTCCAAAATACGAAGAAGAGTACCGCGTCTGGCGACAAGGTCTGGCCTTGTTATCCGTCTTACCTTTGTAATTGTGAATGTTACATTATTATTCTTGCGGGGCCGTCTTTTGAAAGAGTTTTAATTTCTCTGTTCATTTTCTTTTCGATTTCCTTTTCAGTTGGACTTAGTTTTACCTTGGTTAATCTTTTTACTGCGTTAAATTGCCAAATATAACCAGTGCCGAGTCCAGGAACTGACTCCAGGGTGGGCTTAAATTTTCGGGGGTTCGGGGGAAGAGCCCTAAAAAAAAAAAATTGGACCTTTTTTTCTTGATAAATTAGGAAGAGAAAAAAATTAGTTTTTTTTTTGGCGTAATTTGAGTTTTGGATGAGCTAAATAATAAAAATTGAGTTGGCTAAATAATAATATATATGTATAATATGCTAGAATAATTTTTAATTGAGGCGGGGCTTGAGTCCACCCTAGCTGGACTCCCCCCTGAAAATAACTAAAACGTTGCAAATTATTTTGGCATTCCCATAAATTCACACCAAATCTTTTAGTATTGAATTGACTTGTATATAATCACACCTCCGGAAATAAAGTGCGCAAACAGGTTTACGCATATCTATTCTATGCTATGTGCAAGCATACATTGCTAACCTTCTACAATGTCGTGGTAAGTTTAAACTGTTCTCGGTACAAATTTAGGGAAAGAAGTAATTTCGAAAATGCCAAAAGAGAATACGTAGTCCCACTATAAAGGGAATTATGTTCTTAGTTCTTTGATTACGTTTTTCTTTTCAAATATGGGGTATATTTCGATATTTACACGTGTCAAAAGGAATTATGCTTAAGGGAAGTTCAAATAAATGAAATCCGCCATACAGAATAATTCTCCGGGGCTGTGATTTTTTTGTTTGTTTTAAGGCGACATTTTTTTAATGCGTCACATTTTGGATAATTCCCACGCACTAATAATACATGTTTGTGTATATATTTTATGTGTATTCCATATTTCATTTGTGTATCTATTAAATCATATTAAGCTTTAACTCGTATTATTTAGGGTTCCGAGGTAAAGGATGCCAGCACTTGTGTTGGTGAAGAGGTGGTTGGCCGCAGGATAAAGGTTTTGTGGCCACTGGATCAGATGTAAGTATTCCCGATTATAACCATCTGATGCAAGGAACTAACTGATACCACACTGACATCACTCTTTTGCAGATTTTACGAAGGGAAAATTACATCTTTCGACAATTCGAACAAAACACACCAGGTAAAATTTCAAACTTCTATATATATGAAGTTTGTTAGCTATAACAACTTTGTTTGATGGATCATTCTTCGTATTCACAAATGCAGTTGCCCTTTATTACTAGCAATAACTGGATCTTTAATTTGAATATGTATTTTTTACATTTTCGGATTGCACGTGTGTTGTGAATCAGTTCTTCAAATTCTAATTGTTACTGTATCATTACATCATTAGGTTGACTACGATGACGGTGACCATGAAAAATTAGACCTTAGTAAGGAATGCTGGCTACTGATAGGTGACGGCGGTTTGTCCACTCAGGTCGGAGTTGCATTACTATTAATATTTTTATAATTTTTAGAATTGGTTGAAATATTTAACGCGTCTATTTGTGTTTCCGTATTTAATAGGATCAGAAGATTGATGCAAATCCAGGTTCCTCAGCAGAGATGTGAGCTTCTCTTTGGGCTTTATTATTTCGTGTACACAATCTTGTACTGTTTATTATCGTAACGCCCTTAATCACATGTTTAGTTCTTCATTATTTAATTTATATCGAAATCGACTTTGGGATGATAGAAAAAATAATTCTCTTATTTTTAATGTTCTAGTTTTTGTTGTACTTGTTAATCTAATATCCGTAGGGTAAATTACGGTTACTCCCGGAAGTATGGTCAAATTACGAAAAAAACCCCTCATGTTTGGATAATTACAACCACCCCTCAGCTATGAATCTTCTTACACGTCCACCCTTTATGGTGTCAAATTCAACATAATCTTCTAGATTCCGCAAAATATTCTCTAGTTTGTACTCGTTTTGTGCAAGAATGCAGTTTCTGATGCACCACAATCCGATATTTACAAGTCAAGAGACACATCGTATGGCCATTTTGTTTCAAAATGTGGAGCTCGAATGGGATAAAACGGGTACAAACTGGAGAATATCGACACAATCTAGAATATTCCACTAAATTTGACAATGTAAGGGTGGACGTGTAAGAAGATTCATAGTTGAGGGGTAATTGTAATTACCCAAATATAAGGTGTGTTTTTTTTCTTTTGTTCTTTTTTTAATCATACCTCAAGGGTGGTCGTAATTTATCCAATATCCCTATAGTAGTATTAAGTTGCCACTTCGGTCGTGCTTTTTGTATCTTAATCCTCCTTTATTCTGATTTCTTGTGTTATTACTTTGCCCCAAAAGTATGTATGTTGCAATCGTGTTAAATTTAGTGATGCTAATAGCTTAAATTATACTATATTATGCACATGCAGATTGACTGATCATGGAACAAAGTCTTCTCGTATGTTGAAAGGGAAAGAGAAGGTGAGTTCCTAGTGTAAATAGTTTGATTGTAAATTCAATAATTCAAATTGTTTGCTGGAACTTTTCTGCTCATGGCTTTTTTATATGGAACAAGAACAACTGCGATGATATAGAGTTTTCTTGAAAGACCATATCGTCCTTTTGATTTGTAGCCATGCGGCAGAAGTTTTGTTCCTTTGAGTCGAAAAATCATGAACTTGAAAACGAAAAGATAGATATAAGTATGGGCAAATTACAGTTTTCATCCTTCAAGTTTGTACCGATTTCACATTTAGTCTCTCGTGTTCACAAAAAACACATCTGGTTCCTCATATTCCAATGATTTAACACTTTTGATCATTTCCGTCAATTTACTGTTAGTCTGTTAGTTAAGGCAGTGATGGACACACGCTTGATTCCGTTAGTTTAAATGGAAATGACTAAAACTGTTGAATTTTTGAAACATAAGGGACCAAATGTGTTTTTTGTGAACATGGGGACCAAATGTGAAATCGGTGCAAACTTGAGGGATGCAATTGGTGCAAGTCTTTGATGAGACAAAGTATGTATGATTTACAAAGGGAAACTAAATTGTGCTTACTGCTATACGAATAATGTTGTACCATTGTATCAGGAAATTCGGATCGAGGTTCTGGACTGATGCTTTGGCTTTCATGCTAACCTAAAGAAGCAATTCTACACGTTTCGAGTAAAGGTGATTTTAACATATTTTTCTGCTAAAAGAAGTCTCTTTAATCTGATTTGGTTTTCATTCTGGTATTCTTCTTAATTGGTATGTTTTTATTGCAGGTTTCTCGTGGACGAAAGAGATAATATTTGATGCTGCTATGTTAAGAGCTTAATCGATTTCTTTGTTTCCTAATCGCAATTAAGGAGTTGTCCGGATTTTCATAAATAGGGGTGTAAACAAATCGGGTCGAACCGAACATATGGTTTGAATGTTTATCAAGCTTTCACAGTTGTGTTTAAGCTTGGTTCCATAGAGAAATTCAGCTGAACTCGAACGAGCTTTAATCTTACAATAAATTAATCTTTTAATTATTCAGCCGAGCTCAAAAAGAGAAGCTTTTTACATCTTTACCGGGGCACTAAATCTGAAAATTGATAGAAATTTCAATAGAACCAATCGACGACATTAAATTTCCCCGAAACAATGTTGGACAGTTGGACGAAATAATGTGAATACCGAAAAGTTAAGAAGAAGAAAAATGGTTGTTTGATATTAATTAAGAAAATAGTTACTATAAAAATGCTTATTTCATTCGTCAAATAAAAATAATAATTTGTTGGTATATTTTATTTCCCTCCAAAATCGTCCAACTCTTCAGCAACATCATCTAGTTTATTTTTAATTTATTTATTTTTATAAATCAAATACCAACTCACTCAACCAACCATTGCCTAACATGTTATAGCAGGTCATATCACTAAAATTCTCAACTTTTGAACTTACAGGACTAAAATTCTGATTTTGAAACATGATGGACTAAAACTCCCTACTAGCAAACTCAGAATAAAAAACTCATTTTGCCATTATTTAGTCCTATGTAGAAAAGCTTTATGTAATAATACTAAGTCAAAATCAAAATCTAGTGTTAAAATATGGACTCGAAAAAGGAAATTAATCTTTCACCTAACAATTCTTTTACCCTTTTTTTGATGCTATATCCGATGAAATACATCGAATGTGTTGTAAATAATATGGAAAAGTGGGTCTTCCTATCCTAACACATGAGAGGTTGTAACCTCCATATTCCACTATAGATTCTCAACTTCCCACTACCCCATTATCCCCACACATTGTAGTGGTTGTAACTCCTATGTAACTCCTTTGTAACTTCCGGTGGATTACACCTATATAAATGAGAATCTCCCCTCCCCTAAATACCCACAATTTTCTCTCTACGGATTGTTGTTCTTTGCATTCTCTCATTCTCTCTCTATTATCGTTATTATGTTCTTATGTATTTCCACAATCACAAACCAAATAGCTACATAAATAGGCCATTTTACAACACGTTATCAGCACGAAATGCTCGTCGTGATCGTGGAAAGACAATCGTTCGTGGGACTAGGATACTTGAAGAATTTGTGATTCAGGTGCTCATGAAAAATGAACCATTTTTGGTACGTGGATGCTTGAAGAACTTGTGATTCGAGTTCGTTCGTGAAATGGTAATCTTGTTCGAAGAATACAGTATATTCTTCAACAGTTGGGTTTAAGCGTTTCAAGTAAGCCGTAATCCCTTGCAATTTCGATTTCATTAGAGATGCACTAGATCTATTTAATGGCATGAAATGCATGAAGTACATATTTATCTTCAAGTCATTACTTCATTTATACTGTGGATAATTTCAAAATATGATGTGATTCGTAATTATTGGAAGCATGCTTAATTATGTTATAGTATGGTATAAATATCACAATGGTTGTTTTTGGTATGTGGTGTAGCAAATTATTTTATCATTTGCATTCATTCCGGATTCAATGAATAGCGACGATAAATGTTTGATTGTATATTGTCAAAGGATTATAATACCTTGCTGGTTTATTTCATGTTTCGAGGATTTGATATGAAATTGTATTATGAATGTTTTATCATAATATTTAGAATACAGTGGCACTAAGAAGTTTATGAATAAATATGCACTGTCGAATGAGGGGTGGATATATTTGATTATGAATGTGAAATTATTTATGTTTCTTACTGAACGTGATTGTAGCAATATTAATAGAATTTTTTTTTTCTCGGTTGAATTTGTATTGCATGAATTGTTAGAAAATTTTGCTACAATAACTTGGTCATTTCATTTTGAGATGATCTAATGCACTGCTGATACTTGATAGATTATGGATCTATTTAGTTAATTCATGATTATCTACCGGAATAATTTCAGAATTAGTTCGTGGAATTTATATGAGATTGTACATGCTATATATTGTTTATATTATTTAGCATGTTATATTTTATATATTTGACAATTTACAAAGTCTTAATTGCATGAAGACTTTGGTCAATCTCTAATGGAGAATTCTATTCAATTGATCCATATCTGCCATATGTAATTTTGTGATATGAAATGGTAAACAATATTTCGTTCGTCGTTATGGTTTATCGTATGTAATCCATGAATGTGTATGAACATGTGGTGTATGAATTATTAGACCGGAAGTTCTAATATGTGCAAAAAATTCATGAAATTGTTTATGGAGGTTACATTCCCATAAAACAATAATACTCCTTATTTTATTTGATTTGAGATGAAACACATGAGCAAACTCGAGTTTACCCAACTTAATGTATGGTGAAAGTTTTGTTGGTTGGAGAATGGATGTTAAGATCCATACGCTTAGTGAGCAATTGAGAATGGTCGTTTTCGAGGATAATTTATTAGGTAAAGCCCAGAAGGCTGAGACCATGTTTCTGATTACGAGATAATTAGATGAAGTCCTTCGTCTGGACTATTCATCAAACGAGGATCCTCATAAAGAATGGGATACTCTGACTAGTCGTTTTGATTGCCAAAAGACAATACGCTTGCCTGAAGCAAGGAGCAAGTGTTCATAAACGATTTGTATATGAACTTTAAAATTCGAATAGAGCTCCAAATCAGAACATAGATATATATTTTTATGTGCTGCATGTGAGCATTGGTCACGCACCTGAAGTGCGAGGAACGTTGGGGCTGGAGATGCAAATAATAATACACCAGCATAGACTGAGTTGGTAGAGGCAAATATTTTCTATGTATAGCCCGTCACTCAGCTTCCATACTTGGGCACATCTGACCAAATAACCCTTGTTGGGATATGATTGAATTGTTGATTTCATGCATTAGGTTTATTTTATTACTAGGGTTTATTATTTTATTGAATTTCAATCATCTTACTTCATATGCTCATGTTATGAACCATATTCGTATTTTGATTATGTTTAGTTTATGCTCTGGATCATATATTTATGTTACTATATGTTCTAAGTTAATTATTATGTTATTCATTGGTGTTTGCTTGATGAATTTATCTAGTACCTGAAGTACTTAATATATGTGATTAAATTTATATAACTATCTAGACATGACATGTGTGGGTAAATGTCTGGTAGATAGTGCGGCAACACATACTATCCTGAGAGATAAGTCGTACTTTATTAATTACATGTCTATTTGTAGCAAGACCTCTTTGATAACTAAATGAGGCACATGTACTTTTGATAGATGGTTATGATAATGTCCAAATTATGTTTCTCATGGCACAATTTTGCCCATTAAAGTAGCTCATTTTTCTCCACGTTCCAGTAGAACGTTGTTAAACTTTAAAGATATTTGAGCTAAATTGTTGAAACCATTGAACACAAGAAATTGATATGTGCATCATCTCTAACATGTACGGCCAGAAGCGTACATTGGGAAAATTAGAGGAATTTTCGACACGGTTATATAGAACAACAATTTGTATGCCAGAAGCATAAGTTGTCGATTGCTCGAAATTAAGTAATTTGATTATATGTTAGCATACGCACATACATGTAATGATTCAATTCATTTCTTGGAGGTAATCCAAGGAGATATATGTGGACTATGTATCACCATCTTCAACTAAAATTTAGAACCTTAGACAGGCGATCTCTTACCCGCTCAAATTGCGGACTGTCACTTTGATGAGACTGTCTTCCGGCCGTTAGGGGGAGGAAAGAACGTCCACACTACTTGAAAATCGTTCATGAAATCGTGTGGGATGAAAATCGTTCCTGAAATCGTCCACACTAACGTTCCTGAAGAACGACGTGAAGTCGTGTGGGATGACAATATATATTTTCAAGTAATGTCCATAGTAACGTTCCTGAAGAACGGCGTGAAGTCGTATGGGACGACTACTAAATCTGCAAATAATGTCAACACTAATGTTCCTGAAGAACACCGTGAAGTCGTGTATGGAGAATAATGCCAGACTCATTCAATAATTTGAAAAAGTGACGAGATCTCAAATAAGCCTGCAAGGATAGATGTCCTAGAAGGACAATTACGGGTAGGCCATCAATCCATGCTAACTAGTCTTGCCTCCCTTCTAGGAGAGGGGGAGCGCAATGGGACCAAATGATTCTCAACCCCGGAAGTGGGTGAATGCCCAACAATTGAATCCGGTTAGCACTAGTATAAATGGGATCCCACCTGATCCATCTCATAAAATAATTTCGGACTATGGATTCGTCCTGCAGACGAAGTCGGGGGACGCCTCTACATTAATATCCATTCCCGTGAATAGTAAAAACTCGATTAGTTATTCATGCATGAACGAGATGTGGTATTGGGATGAAATGATCATCGATGATAAACTTCCCTACACAGTAGCTACTGAATGTTTTAACGAGTGATGATAAAACCTCGATCAATTGATAAGTGTAAACAAAGAGATGATGGCCGAAATGAAAACAAAAAGAATTCAAGTTGACTTTGATTCCTTGATAAAATGAAGAGTGTAGAGACCAGTAGTTCTTACAACTCATTGAATTTCACCATGGGATATAAGTGAGTACTCACAAATAAAAGAAATGAGATTGGGAACCAGAAGATTCATCTCATAGCTTTAACGAGATTAGGAGCCAGGAGACTCATCTCATAGCTCAAGGAATGAAATGAGATTGTGAACCAGAAGATTCATCTCATAGCTCAAATGAGATTGGGAACTAGAAGATTCATCTCATAGCTTAAACGAGATTGGGAGCCGGGAGACTCATCTCATAGCTCAATCAATGAAATGAGATTGGGAACCAGAAGATTCATCTCATATCTCATATGAGATTGGGAACCAGAAGATTCATCTCATAGCTTAAACGAGATTGGGGGCCAGAAGACTCATCTCATAGCTCGAACAAGATTTGGAGCCAGAAGACTCATCTCACAGTACAATGATTTATGGGCAAATGAGATTGGGAGCTCGAAGACTCATCTCATAATTCAAAGATTCCTCATAATACTGAGATTGATTTTAAAGAGGTATACTCTTTCATGGTGAATGTTATTAAATACGTGGTCACAAAGTATCTAATGAGAATCTAGATACAAGTATTTATATGAAAGTTCCAGAAGGACTTCGATTTCCCGAAGCAATTAGTTCCAGATCACGGAACATAAACTCAGTTGGGCTGAGACGTTCACTTTAATTATGACTAGAAATATTCCAGAAGAATATAGGACAATTGCCTAAGTGAACAATTGCTCGGAAGAAAATAGAACAATAAATGGTTTTGATTGTTCCTATTACTATAATTTATATAAAGGACATAAACTTGATTTAGACTAGAAGTCAAGTAAGAAAAACTCAATTGTTGAAAATTTGAGTTCAAGATCAAAGATCTAAATGAGACTAATTTGTTGTCTCTACCAACTTAAAATTTATCATGTCATTTATATTTATGTCCATCATTCGAATTACATCCAGAAGATGTTATGGATAAAGATAAATTATCGAGTAACACCTATGGGAGTGGGAAAGTGGAATAGGTCCAATGATTCATTCCGTCCCATGGAGAAGGACGAGGAAGTGTTAGCACCAGAAGTGCCATATGTAAATGCAATATATGCATTATTATGCTTAACTCCATGTACTCGATATGATTTAGCTTTTTCGGTAAATTTATTAGGTAGACTTATCTCACCTTACCGACACGCCCAATACATCAATGAATGATGGAAAACTTGTGGTTTATATTGGCATTGACTAGAAGTCATATCCACACAAAGCTCGTTCCCAGTCCATGGTTTAGTATTGGGAAAACAACTATGTCTTGGGGTTCTATGAAATGTACCTTAGTTGTCACTAGGTCAAATCATGCATGATGTTTGTTTCACGAGATAGTAAGTGAATGCACATGGCCTGAAGCCATGATTAGGCATGTTCGAGATTCCTGTGAATTGACTAACACAGAAGATCCTACGGGATTTTATTTTACTGTAATACAGTATGCATTGAGCAAATGAAGACGGGCTTCATTAAAGTGACAACTCCATGTACATAGCTTTGAAGCTTTCTTCAATCAGCAACAACAATAGCCGAGTAGATAACATGTTTTCTTCAATCAGCAACAACTCCATGTTAATGAAGCTTTCTTCATTAACATGTTTTCAAAAGTTGACTTTAGGCAAAACTTATTCTTAAAGTTGGAGCAGTTATCTCAAATTTTTGATCTGCGGGATCATTATTTGTTTAGGCTATTGATTGAGTAGATTATCCGAGTTCACTCCCTTGTACATATCAGGGGGAGTTAATTTGAGGGGGAGTATCTTGTAGGTACTCAGTATCCAGAAGATATCCGGGTGCCCTGTTGTACTATTTTTCCTGTGTGCGAGGTTTATTTTTCCTACGGGGTTTTCGTTACTCGTCAAGGTTTTAACGAGGCAACACATGCTGATTGGAAAGATTGTGCGTTGTACTCTTTTTCCTAACCGAGACTGTTTTTTTTCCCACTGGGTTTTTATCACTCGGAAGGTTTTAACGAGGCAACATGAAAAGCACAGTAGTGTTTTGATAGGAATCCCCAAGGGGGAGTGTTGTAAATAATATGGAAAAGTGGGTCTTCCTATCCTAACACATGAGAGGTTGTAACCTCCATATTCCACTATAGATTCTCAACTTCCCACTACCCCATTATCCCCACACATTGTAGTGGTTGTAACTCCTATGTAACTCCTTTGTAACTTCCGGTGGATTACACCTATATAAATGAGAATCTCCCCTCCCCTAAATACCCACAATTTTCTCTCTACGGATTGTTGTTCTTTGCATTCTCTCATTCTCTCTCTATTATCGTTATTATGTTCTTATGTATTTCCACAATCACAAACCAAATAGCTACATAAATAGGCCATTTTACAACAGAATGATTATTAATCGTTGATCTGCACTCAATCACACAAACACCCACGTATATGCAATACCCATGTATATGCGTGGTTCACCTAATAATACTTCTCCACCCATGTGATTATCACGTTACAATTGAAGGGCAAAATTGTAGTTTGAGTTAAACATGACATTAACCCACCATCTTCTCCTTTCATCAGGCATGAATAGTCAACCATCGCTGCCTCCATTTCTCTACACCATTTCTTTTTCTTTCTTTCAGACTCCATTCATTTTCTCTCTCTGCATTTTTTTATTGTCCTTGAGCAAAGATGGAGTGATTCTTGATTCTTGATTCTTCTTGATTCTCAACCTCAAGAATTGTTCTGAAAACCAATTCGATTTTCGGGAGAGAGAGAGAGAGAGAGATGGCAGCTTACGCAGCTCTACTTTCTCTCAGGCATATCATCGAACAGCTTCAGCATCACCCTTCCCCTCCAATTTCTCTTGACCAAAACCAGGTCCAATCTCTCACCAACAACCTCAATTTCTTGCAAGAGTTTCTTGAGCAGGGATATCCTTGTGTTGGCATCAGCAAAGAAGCAATTGATGTTTTTGAAAGTCGAATTGCAGATGCAGCTCATGCAGCCGAAGATATAATCGAAACCCGAATTGTGGATCAAATTCTTACTGAATCGACTGCTCAAGCGTCGAAAGATATAACCGAAACCTGGGTTAGTGATCAAATTCTTGGTGGTGCTGGTTCATCAAGATCTCCTTCAACGAGGCAGAATGTCAATATCGTAGCTGGTTTAGATGTCGTGGAAAAAATCAGTTCAGTCGACTTGTACCGAGATCTCGATAAGGTGATCCAAGACATGGGTTTAATCAAGAAAGATGTGATGGAGATTAAAGATATTAATATTGGAAGAATCGAAGATCATGATCTGCACATAAATTCTTCAACTCTTGCTGGTGCTGCTTCATCAAGGTCTCATTTAACAACGAGGCGGGATGCCGTGGTTGGTCTTGACGAGCTCTTGATTGAAGTAATGGATAAGCTGACTGGCCAACAATCTAATCTCCACATAATCCCGATTGTTGGCATGGGCGGCATTGGTAAGACTACTCTTGCTAGAAATGTTTATGCTAAGCCGCTCATTATGCAACACTTTGATATTCGAGCTTGGGTTACGGTATCTCAAAACTATAATGTGCAAGAAATTCTTTTAGAAATTCTACTTTGCATTAGCAAAGAAAAGAACCTGGAAAGCTTGAGTTGGATGAGCGAAGGTGAATTAGGTGAAACAGTACACAAAACTTTATGGGGCAGGAGATATTTGATTGTATTGGATGATATTTGGAGTGTTGAGGCATGGGATAAAGTGAATCTCTTCTTTCCAGAAAATGGTCAAGGAAGTCGAATAATGATAACCACTAGGCTATCAGACGTTGCTTCGATTGGCTCTCATGGCGTTGTGATGGATTTCTTAAATGAGGATAAGAGTTGGGATCTACTGTGCAAATCTGTATTTGAAGAAGAAGACGATTGCCCTCCTGAATTGGAGGAAATAGGAAAGAAGATAGCCAAAAATTGCGAAGGACTTCCTTTGTCAATAGTTGTGATTGGAGGACACCTAGCGAAGTCTAAGCGCACAAGAGAACATTGGGAATATATTTCAGAAAACACAAACACAATTGTAAATTTGGAAGACAACGAGCGTTGCTTAAAAGTATTACAATTGAGTTATAACCATTTGCCGGTACATCTAAAGCCATGTTTTCTTTATATGGGAGTTTTTCCGGAGGACAACAAGATCCGTGTCTCATGTCTCGTAAAATTATGGGTTTCTGAAGGATTTGTGAAACCAATTAACGGCAAAAGCTTGGAAGTGGTTTCGAGAGAGTACTTGCAGGAGCTCTGTGATAGAAACCTGATTTTAGTTCATAAAAGGGGGTCTAATGGAAATATCAAGTTTTGCAACATCCATGATCTCTTGAGGGAACTATGCTTGCGAGAAGCTCAGAGAGAGAAGTTCCTTTATGTCACAAGACCGCATGAACTTGCCATTCCACATGGCATAAATACCCAACGCCGCATTGGTATTCATCAAAGCATGTCAAAGAAGGGTTATCTCCCTGATCAAGTCCTTCATATGTTGCAATATGTGCCTCTTGTTCGGTCTTTGATTGGCAAATTTGGAAAATATTTACCATTACATGATTTTAGATTGTTGAGGGTGCTGAAAGCCGATGATAAAAAGTCATATTTCGATTACAACAGACAATACGAATATTCCGTTAAAGTTGTCTCTCGGCTAGTTAACCTGAGGTTCATTGCTATCCGATCTAATGGGCGTAGAAGTTCCGGATTTCCTTCTTCACTCAATCTCTTTTGGAATCTACAGACTTTAATTGTAAGTTGTAACTGGGGCGTTGTTGCACCATGTGAAATTTGGAACATGACTCAACTTAAGCATGTTCATTTCGATGGACTTGAGCTGCCTGATCCTCCTATCGGTGGGAAAGATGACGAGTTTATTTTGGGGAACCTACAGACGCTCACTGATATACTCAAATTCAAATGTGGAGAAGAGGTGGTCAAGAGAATCCCCAATATCAATAAATTACAAATATCTTACTTTGAGGAACCTCAGGAATTTTTGAGTTACTGTCTCGACAATCTTGGCCATCTACATAAACTCGAGTCCTTGCGTTTCATACTTTATCCCAGAAATAAGGCATCCCTGAATGATTTGGTGCAGAATTTCATCCTCCCCAATTCCCTCAAGAAGTTGACTTTGATGGGGACCAAGCTCAAATGGGAAGACATGAACACAAAGATAGGTTTGTTACCCAATCTTCAAGTCCTCAAACTGAAGGAATATTCTTTTGTGGGGACCGAGTGGGAAACAGTTGAAGGGCAATTCTGCAACCTTAAATTCTTGCTAATCCACATGTGTAGTGAGCTGGAATGGTGGACGACAGATAGCTCCCACTTTCCGCGCCTCGAGCATCTTCAACTTCAGTTCTTGGATAAGTTGAAGGAGATCCCTTCATGTATTGGAGAAATATCAACGCTTCAATCGATTCAGTTGCTTCGTTGTAGCAACGAAGCTGTCATTTCTGCTAAAGAAATATTGAAGGAACAAGAGGATTTTGGCAATGTAGACTTTCGACTCGTAGAGTAAGAATAGTCCCAACTTTCAAGTTGAATCTTGGTGAGAACTCAATCTTCATAACATGATCCTTCTGCTATATATATATATATATATATATATGTGTGTGTGTGTGTGTGTGTGTGTGTGTGTGTGTGTGTGTGTGTGTGTGTGTGTGTGTGTGTGTTTGAGTGATAATTTTATTTTTAGGATTAAATTCTTTTAAACAAATTTGCGATCTTCTCTGTCTACATCTAGTCCATGCACTGTCCTTACAGCAATGAACCTACATGGAGCATAAATCGAAGAATTGAGGCCTGGGAGCGGATCGCTTGTCGACAAGTTGTCGTGTTATTAAACTTAGATTAACAATTTGGTATGTTGGAATTTACAATTCATTGTTTCTTCATGTCATTCGTTTCGCGTGAAATTTAGCCTCCGGTTAATTTATTGGAAGCATTTGTGTGAGCTTGTAAACAATTTCTACTTTGGTTTTCTTTCATGTAATTTCTTTTTGAGGCTTTGTGTAATAGTTGGTTTTTCAACATTTGAACTGGATTTTATTCTTCGTTATAGGGGTACTCTTTTCCTTGTGTTAGGCCCACAAGGTTTTTAACGAGGTCCCTTTGTACTTTTTTTCTATATGGAATAAAATCTTTTTTGGCCAAGAAAAAAAAGAGACTCAAGGATTGTACTATTGTGTCTTTATTTAAATCTTAAATCATTTTGATGTTGTGCTTCAGTTTAATTGATTTCGTTGAGATCCAACTGCTCGATTCTACAAATCATGAAAAGCTCGTAAATGGTGAAACATCACGAATTTATGATTTGTTTGACGAAATCGATTTTTGTTGTGAAATATTCCTTTGAACCAAAGAGACTCCGTCAAAATTCACACCGTAAGGGGACTGCGTAAGACGGCTACAAACTTCAGGGGAGTTTTGATCATTATGGATACGTGAGGGTTTTTTTTTCTTTCGTAAATTGACCTAAGTTCAGAGGGTTTCTAGTAATTTACCCTTATTTTTTTCATCTAATAAGTAGTCAGTTAAGCATTCATACAGAGATATAAAATCTAATTATCATCTGTATTAGTGACAGACAGAACAATGCCATGTGTGGTAGTATTGCAATTTTACAATATTAAATTGATGAAAGAAAAGTTTTGAAAGTAGCACGAAAAAAATTATTTTTCGTTAATTCATTTTTCGTTTGTATCGATTATGTTTGATTGAAGCGTAAAGTAATTCACCTAGCATCGTTTATTATATTTCGGACGGGTTTCCTCTGTTTCGTTAAGATAATCTAATTGAAATACTGGATTGTGTCAGCCTTTAATGTATCTGTTTATTCGTTGCTGTACAATCAAAATCAATTTGAACACTCAGTTACCGCAAATAGATCACGTATTCGTGATCGTTCATCATTTGCAAACTTTTCAAGATTTGTAGAATTAATCCAGCAGTTGGGTCTCAACAACCTTGGCCGTCTATGTAAACTCGAATTCTTGCGTTTCTCGTTATATTCCCTAATAAAGAAGGCAAACTAGAATGATTTGATGCAGAACTTGATCCTCCCGAATTCGCTCAAGAAGTTGACCTTGTACGGGACCAATCAGTAATGGGATTGAATCAATCTATTTGGAGATTTGTAGCGACACGGCTTTCATTTCTGCTAAAAGAATATTGGATGAACAAGAGGATCTTGGCAATTTCGGCCTTCGAGTTCGATCTCAAGTTTTCCAAGAGAGTAAAGAACAATTGGAGAGCTTGGTTGGTCCCAACTTTCAAGTTGAAACTTGGTGAGAAACGAATCTTCGTTGATTTATATAAGCAACATTTCACTTATATATGTTATATTTTTATTTTTATGATTAAATCCTTAGAAGCAAAATTTGAAACTTCTATGTCTGGATCAAGTGTATACATATATTTATTGTGGTTTGTTTTGTTGTAAACTCTTTCTTTTGTTTTGTTTGACTTATAAGGACGAGGCGAAGGAATGAAAAATGGGACGGCGCTTCTGTATAAAGAGAAAATGGCAAACTCTGTTGTAAGTTATCCGAAATCCGTGCCCCCCCCCCCCCCCCCCGTTTTTTTAAAAAAAACACCGGCCCTTTTGGATTCCCCCACACCCCCCCCCTGGTTTCCCTTGAATTTCCTAATTTTAATTAAATTTGGAGAAAAATATACATTGAAATAAGTGGGGGGGCCCCAAAAGAAATTTAAAAACCTTTCCTGGAATAAAATTTTCCGAAGAAAATCTATATTGCCTAAACCAACCAGAAACCGAGAAATGGGATGGAAAAAAAAAAAAAAAAGAAGAAAAATTTTGGAAATGATATTCCCTAAACCTTGTTCCTTCTTTAAACCAAAGGAGGACCAAACTTTCTTGCTCGCTTTGGGGTTTACCTGGCGGAATCCCCGGAATCCATGTTAGGGACTGGAACTAAGAAAAGTCAAAGTCGATGGCAGTTACGTATTCTTATTCATTCTTCCACATTATATTCTCTCTAGCTAGCAGCATGTACTCTGCAATGATCCTTACAGGATGATCAACTTCATGTGTTTTAAATTTTTACGTTTCAAAGTATTACAGAGCTATTATTTTAACGTTAGTATTTAACTAGATAAATTGTTAAATATTTTTTAACGAAAACAAATAAATGGGAGCTTCAATGCCGAAACAGAAGCCATTCTGGCAACGGATTCCGAATTTTGTACTTCGGCTTTGGGCATTGAAGCCCCAAATAATTATTACTTTTATCTTTTTAGGAGGATGTATATAAGTATTACTTTTATCTTTTGGGCAAACTTGAAAAGTTTTGAAAGTGAGGACCTCACTGTCTGATTTTTTTGATATATGAATTTTTGGGTTTTCTGCAAAACCACCCCTGTGTAATCTCGAGTTGCTAAAAATTACCTGTGTTAAAAAAATTAGCAAACCCTCCGGGAATTAATCAAAGGCAATAAGGTCCTTAACAGCCTATCGTGTGCTGCACGCGCGGATTGTGCGACTGAGAGTGCATTTTTGACACAAATAGACCAAAATACCTGTTAAATTATAAATTTCCAAAATTACAAATTCACACCAAAACTCTATATGAAGTTTTCAAAAAAAAAAAAAAAAAAAGTTTTCAAAATTTGCAATTCAATCCTTCCCATTTCCAAAAAGGCCATCTTATCAAACGACAAACGTCACCCCAACCGGCAACCATCTTCACACCATCTCTGGTGTCTTCCTCATCGAAAAACGTCACAGAAAGAGTGGGCGGTGTGTTGGTTTGACGGGAAAATGAAGCAATTGTACATTATCTCCTCTTTTTTCTTTTCTTTTTTTTTTTCGGGATTTTGTTTTCAATTTTTTTTTTTGAGGGATTCATTTTTTTTTTTGGGTAGAATATTTTTATTTTGCATTACTTTGAATTCACGGTAGTTTTGTCATTTCATCCAAGTCAAGAGGGAAAAACGAAAAAAGGGCAGTGTGCTGTGTAAAATATAACATAGGAGGGTTTTTGTTAATTTTTTTAACACAGAGAGTTTTTCACACTGGGTTATGTGCAATTAACTCATGATTTTTTAGTTGAGCCTTTTTGGTATTTTCCATAAAAATATCATCTACAGGTACTGATGTAGGGAAAATTACATTTTTCGTCCTCATACTTTAACCACTTTTTAAAAAATGTCCCTAAACATGTTGGAGTTACAATAGTAGTCCTTAATCATGCCATTTTTGGCAGAATTGGTCCGCCGTTAATTTTTGCAGTTAAGTTGGATGGAAAATGGCATGTGCCTCTCACATGCCTTCAATTTATAATACTACATGAAAATAGACTTTCAACAAGACGCCTTGCGTCTTGTTAAAACATATTTTTTATAATTATTATTTTTAATTAAAATTTAATATAAAATCGGAATCACGTAAATTCCAAAAAAATCAACTCGTTTCAGAAATATTGTTTAAAAAATCAAAATATAGTTTAAAATTTTAAAATATTGTTCCAAAATCTGCATTTTTGGAATTCAATTAAAATATATCGTTTCAAACAAAAATAAAAAAACCCGATAGAAATTGGGGAATTAGAAATTTCCATTCCATTTTTCACCTCTAATCAATTCCAAAAATCCCAATTGTGAGACAATATGTCGAGTTTTAAATCATTCAATATGGGTGAAAATTGGAAAGAAGTTTTCATATGCTGCCTAATTTGATCGAATTTTTTTTTTTATTTTGAAATAATATTTTCATTCAATTTCCAAAATTTTAAAACACAATATTATTTTTTAGACAATATTATGATTTTTTAAACAATATTTCTGAATTTATTTTGAAAAAAATATATGAAGTTTTAGATTATTAAATAAGGGTGAAAATTGGAACGGAGTTTTCTTACTCCGCCTATTACGATCAGATTTTTATTTTATTTCAAACAATAATTTTCATTTGGATTCAAGAAATTCCGGTTTTAAAACATTATATTATTATTTTAGACAATACTTCTAAAAATATTTTGTAACAATTTATCAAGTTTCACATTATTAAATTAGGGCAAAGATTGAAATGGAGGTTTCTTATCCCGCCTATTCGGATCGAATTTTTATTTTATTTTGAAACAATGTTTTCATTTGAATTCCTGAAATCTTGATTTTGAAAGCAATATTTCACTTTTTTAAAACAATGTTTCAATTGTTTAAAGAATATTTCTCAAAATATTTTAAAACAATATATATCGATTTTATTTTTTTAGAATTTATATAATTTCGAATTTCAATCAAGTTTTAATTAAGAAAAATATGTTTTAACAAGACGCAATGCGTATTGTTAAAAGTCAATTTTCATGTAGTGTTGTAAATTGAAGGCACATGCTATTTTTCATCCAACTTAACTGCAAAAATTAACGGCGGACCAATTCTGTCAAAAAATGGCATAATTAAGGACTACTATTGTAACTCTAAAATATTTAGGGACAGTTTCGAAAGAGTGAATAAAGTATGAGGACAAAAAATATAATTTTCCCTACTGATGTACGACCACTAAATGAGTGGACCAAAATCAAACCTTTAGATCTCAGAATATATGAAAAGATTTTTCTTCTCTCTTTTTTTTTTTTGTTTGGAATGAAAAATTATTCTTGCTTGTTGACTCCAGAGAGAAGAGCAAGTTAGAGATGGCGGCCTATGCAGCTCTACTCTCTCTCAAGCATATCATCGAACAGATTCAGGTTCATCCTCGCCCTCCAATTTCTCTTCACCAAAACCAGGTGCATTCTCTCACCGACACCCTCAATTTCCTGCAAGATTTTCTTGAAGTTTATTCATGTGGCGGCAGCAGCAGCAGCAGAGAAGCAGCAGATGTCTTGGAAAGCCGCATTGCAGATGCAGCTCACGCGGCGGAAGATATAATCGAAACCCGAATTGTTGATCAAATTCTTGGCGAAAAAATGAGCTCCGATGAGTTGTATCAAGATCTAGAGAAGGTTATCCAAGACATGGGTTATATCAAGAAAGAATTGATGGAGAATAAAGAGAAGAATATTGGAATAATCGAAGATCATCTGCACATAAATTCTTCAACACTTGGTGGTTCATCAAGTTCTCCTTCAAAGAGGCGGGACGCCGTGGTTGGTCTTGATGAACTCTTGATTGAAGTAATGGATAAGCTCACGGGACAACAATCTAATCTCCGCATAATCCCGATTGTTGGCATGGGCGGCATTGGTAAGACTACTCTTGCTAGAAATGCTTACCTTAAGTTTATGAAGCACTTTGATATTCGAGCTTGGGTTACAGTATCTCAAAACTACAATGTGCGAGAAATTCTTGTAGAAATTCTTCTTTGTATAAACAAAGCTGAGAGCCGAGAAACCTTGAGTGCGAAGAGTGAAGGTGAATTAGGTGTAAAAGTACACCAAAGTTTATGGGGAAGGAGATATTTGATTGTAATGGATGATGTTTGGAGTGTTGAGGTATGGGATAAAGTGAATCTCTTCTTTCCAGACAATGGTGAAAGAAGCAGAATAATGATAACCACTAGGCTATCAAACGTTGCTTCGATTGGCTCTGGTGGCGTTGTGATGGATTTCTTAAATGAGGATAAGAGTTGGGATCTACTGTGCAGATATGTATTTGAAGAAGAAGACGATTGCTCTCCTGAATTGGAGGAAATAGGAAAGAAGATTGCCAAAAATTGCGAAGGACTTCCTTTGTCAATAGTTGTGATTGGAGGACACCTAGCGAAGTCTAAGCGCACAAAAGAACATTGGGAATATATTTCAGAAAACTTAAAAAAAATTGTAAATTCGGAAGACGATGAGCGTTGCTTAAAAGTATTGCAATTGAGTTATAACCATTTGCCGGTACATCTAAAGCCATGTTTTCTTTATATGGGAGCTTTTCCTGAAGACAATAAAATCCATGTCTCCTGGCTTGTGAAACTATGGGTTTCTGAAGGTTTTTTGAAACCAATTAATGGGAAAAGCTTGGAAGTGGTTTCCAGAGAGTATTTAGAGGAGCTTTGTGACAGAAATCTCATTAGAGTTCATCAAAGAGGGTCTAAAGGGAGAATAAAATATTGCAACATCCATGATCTCGTGAGGGAATTATGCTTGAGAGAAGCGGAGAAAGAGAAGTTCCTTTACGTCAGAATACCGCATGACCTTAACAATGTTCCACAAGGCGTAATAAATACCCAACGCCGCATTGGTATTCATCAAAGCACATCGGAGCCTGAAGCTCTCTATGCATTGCAATCTATGCCTCTTGTTCGTTCTTTGATTTGCGAATTTAAGGGAGTTTTACCAACACTTGATTTTAGATTGTTGAGAGTGCTGAAAGCAGTTGATAAGCATTTATATTCCGAGGAGAAAAGACAATACAAATATCCCATAGAAGTTGTCTTTCGGCTATTTAACTCGAGGTTCATTGCTATCCGGGTTGACTCGCGTCAAAATCCCCAGTTTCCTTCTTCGGTCAATCTCCTTTGGAATCTACAGACTTTAATTGTAAAGGATACCGTTGGCGCTGTTGCACCATCTGAAATTTGGAAGATGACTCAACTTAGGCATGTTGAGTTCGATGAACTTGAAATGCCTGATCCTCCTCTCGGCGGGCAAGATGGCGAGTTTGTTTTGGGGAACTTACAGAGGCTCTCTGTAATAACGAGTTTCAAATGTGGAGAAGAGGTGGTTACGAGGATCCCCAACATCGAGAAATTAAAAATACGTTACGATAAGGAATTTGAGGGATGTTCAAGTTATTGTCTCGACAATCTTTGTCGTCTACGTAAACTCGAATCCTTTGGCTGCTCCTTTTTGTCCCAAAGTGTGCCAAACCGGGACGATATGTTGCAGAATTTCATCCTCCCGAATTCCCTCAAGAAGTTGACTTTGTGGAGGACCAAATTCTACTGGGAAGACATGAATACAAATATAGGTTTGTTACCCAATCTTCAAGTCCTCAAACTGAGTGCAGATGCTTGTGTAGGGACCGAGTGGGAAACGGTTGAAGGGCAATTCTGCAACCTTAGATACTTGTTAATCAACTCGTGCAGTGAGCTGGAATGGTGGACGACAGATAGCTCCCACTTTCCATGCCTCGAGCATCTTGTCCTTCAACAATTAGATAAGTTGAATGAGATCCCTTCATGTATTGGAGAAATACCTACTCTTCAATCGATCGAGTTGAATCTGTGTCACGACGATGCTGTCATTTCTGCTAAAAGAATATTTGATGAGCAAGAGGATCTTAGCCTTCGAGTTCGAGTTGTCACGCAGAATCGACAATTTGAGAGCCTGGCTGGTCCCAACTTTCAAGTTGAAACTTGGTGAGAACTCAATCTTCACAACATGGATATATATATGTGTGTGTGTGTGTGTGTGTGTGTGTGTGTGTGTAATTTTATTTCACTTTTGATTGTTTTCTTTAACGTTGTACTGCCTTGCAGCAATATACTCTGAACATACACACAGTGCATAAATCGAAGAATGGAGGTCCGAGAGCAGATTGCTTGTCGCGTTATTGAACTTAGATTGACAATTTGGTATGTTGGAATTTACAATTCATTGTTTTAATGTTGAAGATACCTTCTTTCTGTCATTAGTTTGGCGTAAGAGTTATAGCCTCCGGTTAATTTATTAGAAGCATTTGTGTGAGCTTTGTAAACAATTTCTACTTTGGTTTTCTTTCATGTAATTTCTTTTTGGTCCGCCGGTGGAATTTGGAGTTTCTTCAAATGTTCGTGTAATATTATTATACGTAAATAAATTGAGTTGAGACTCGAGTTTGTAATATTTTGCCTTTATTTAAAAATCTTAAAGGATTTTGATTCTCTAGTGCGAAGACTTCTCCAACGCAACACTCAAAACTCAAAATATTTTTCTTAGGAAGTAAAAGTAAAATTGTACTAAATGATGAGTTGGCACTTTAGAGATTATCAAGATGACTCTCCAATTTCAAAGTGTCGTCTTAAAAATCTCAAAAATCACAAGTGCCACCTCATTGCCACGTCATATTTCAAAATATCTTATGTGGCACTCTAAATATTAGAGGTGGAGTTTACCATCGAAGATGCTCTAAGCCACATACACTTGGTTGGAGAAAAGTGTTTACACAGTACGTGGGCAGTTTTGATTTTATTTGTATACAAAGATGATTATCGTCCAATAAAAGTCACTTTTAAAATATGGTTTTCATTTTTTTTTTGTCATCCCCATAAACAGTAGTTAAATCATTAGTTCCGATTCATAGGTGGCGATCACAAACATGTAAGTAAAAGTAAAAGTTGGTGATTGTGAGTAAAATTATTTATTATCGGGAAAAATACAGTCTTTGTGCCTCAAGTTTGCACCGATTTCACATTTGGTTCTCATGTTCACAAAAAACACATTTGGTCATTTATGTTGCAAAAATTCAACACTTTTAGTCATTTTCATCAATTTTCCGTTAAAACTAATAGAAACAAGCATGTGTCCATCACTGTCTAACTAACGGACTAACGGTAAATTGACAGAAATGACAAAAAATGTTAAATTATTGGAATATGAGGGACCAAATGAGTTTTTTTGTGAACATGGGGAACCGAATTTGAAATCGATGTAAACTTGAAGTATGAAAACTATAATTTCCCCATTTATAATCAATTCTAAAAAAGCTTTTGCAAACACCAATTCGAACATCAATACCTTATGGGCGAGGGCACACCGGATAAATTGACTTGATTGAAGCCTAATTGTGGCCCAAGAAAGAGTGGACAAAGAATTGTATTCCAACTATATATATGTGATCACCATTTGATCCGATGATGACCTTCATTCGATACTATCACTTTACGTAATTTCAACTTTCAAGAAAGTGTGGTTCGATTAAAAATCACGAATTTATAATGGCTAACTATGTCTGACATGTAAGCTCGACCTAGCAATTGTCGGCAAAGTTTAAATATGGGTCAACTAATTACTGACACATGCTCACTTGCTCCAACTGCTAAATTATCATCTATAGGAAAAGAAAAAGAAAACATAAATTGTGTGTGTTTGTTTGGATAGTTTCATAATACACACTACAACTTCATTTTTATTCTGAGTTATTATGAACATTACAGTAGAATGATAAATATTTTAAATAGTGTCATTTGAGAATTATCTTTTAAATCATCTGGTCAAGTGAAAATAATTTTATGGAAATACAATCTCATTTTCGTAACCTCGACCCGAAAATTAAAAAAAATTATAGAATTTGCGAGGAAATAATGTTCATCTTTGATATCAATAATGCATATGGCCTCAACCGTTTGGGACTGTATTTTCATTCCGATTTTCGAAGTTTCGATTTTTTATTCTTCCAAATTTATTTGGAACGGAATTGAAGTGGTATATAAAATTGCCGAAAATTCCGTTTTCTGATTCGATTTTAATTATGAATATTTCTATGATTTTACGAAATATATAGTATACTTTATGATATTTGGAATTCCAAAATATAACTTATGTTATATGAAAAATATGAATAGCGAAATGTCAAGTAAATTAAAATCTTAGAAAAAATTAATTGGTAGTGATACATTTTATGTTGCATTTTTCCTTATAAGAAAATCTATGTTTTATTATAAATTTTATGTTGCATTTTTCCTTGTAAGAAAATCTATGTTTCAATTTGTTGTTCATACATTTGTTTTTACTAGTATTTTCACTTGTGGTTGGGTGCTGCCGTTTGAACGTGACCGGCGTTCGTTTTTCCGAGGGCTGAAAGAATTTGTGGGAAATTCGTGGGATCAGACTTGGGATATTTTGGGTTTCGATGAGGTGCTGGTGCTCAAGCACAGTCGAAGACGGTGGCAAGACAAGTGGAAAGCTGAAGCCGATGGTGTCGGTTCGACGAGGGCGTCGAACACCGTTGGTGGGGGAGGTCTGTTACCCCCTTAATCGGTGATATCGGTAATGACTCGAGTGTGGCCGAGTCATGACCGATAAATGGTGCCAAGTGGGGATTGGCACAAGGCAGCCACACAATCGGCCAATGAGTGGTCGAGAGATCGGCAAGCATTCGGGGTGTTTGACCGAGAAAGCAAGGATCGGCTTGATTCAAGTGGGAACGGTGATCGATATTACTTGTGGCTGGCACGGGCGTTGCTCGGCAGCAAAGTCGGACAAGCGTGGGCAGTATTCGGCATGCGGCCGATAACGTGGGCAAACGAACGTTCGAGGGAAATCGACCACGACTTGACAAGTGTGGGCAAAATTGGCAAGGCAAGCAAGGCAGCCCGATGAGCGGGCGTGCCGATGACCGTGTGGGCAAAGAACTGGCAAGTAATCGGTAAAGGGAAGCAAAAGTGCGGAAAAGGCAAGGCAGATGGGCTGCCTAGCAACCGGCCGGGCTGTTTGGGCCGTTTGGCGCGCGTTCGCGGGCTCGTTCAAGTTGGGCTTCGGAAATCAGCCTTGTGGGCGGATTTGAGGAAGTTACGGAGCGGTTGAGGCCTGGAAATGCATAAAAACTGCCCCTTATTACTTGTAATAGTTAGCCAAGTGTCATGTTTGTATGCTGCCATGTGTCCTTAGGTAGTTTTGTGTGAAAACTACCTTTTCTTTGTATTTATTTGGCTATGAGTGCACAAATCCGAGGCATCTAGTATCATCTAGCATATGAGAGTTCAGATTGCAATTGTTGGGCAATTCTGAGTGAGGATTTTGTGTGTGCACCTTAGTCTCCTTTGTATTTATTGTGGGAATTAATATAAAGGTTGGGCATTGCCCGTAAACGTGCTTGTGTGTTTGTTTTCCGCTGCATACTCTTGTGTTCGTTTACGTTGGCTTGAAAAGACTTGTGTTGTGCGTTTGTGCGAAGAAAATCGTGAGGAAGGCTGACTGGTTTGGTGGGCAAATCAGGCCGTACGGTGGGAAAATTTCGGTGATAAATTAACCCCTGTAACAGAAACCTCCCTTGCATTGTGACAAAGATGCACCAAACCCCCTTGTGTTGCTAAATAATTGCATAAAATCCCATCAATAATTAATTGAGTTAAAAGTTAACGGAATAGGGATTTCATATAAGATAAAATAAAACATAAAAAGATTGTACGTAATAAAATTAGGGATATAGTGCAGATTTTTCATAACACATGGGGGTTTTATGTTGTTTAATTACCGAAATACTATATGCGAACTTAAAAATATACACATTTTCAAACAAAGACTATTGACAGTCAACCAAAAGAATTGAACTTTTAAGAAAAAGTGTGAAATCCAATTGATCTAAATCTCATTTTATATATATATATATATATATATATA